CATCTTCTTAAAATGCTCGCTAAACTTTCTGGTGGCGGCAGCAGCTGAGGATCCGCAAGTTTGGTCACAGTAGATAGCGGTCACAGTATATAGTGATAGCGGTCACAGTATATAGCGATAGCGGTCACAGTATATAGCGATAGCGGTCACAGTATATAGCGATAGCGGTCACAGTATATAGCGATAGCGGTCACAGTATAAGCGATAGCGGTCACAGTATATAGCGATAGCGGTCACAGCATATAGCGATAGCGGTCACAGTATATAGCAAAAAATGGTTAGCGGTCACAGTATATAGCAAAAAATGGTTAGCGCACGATGGTCGTCAGCATATAGCGATAGCGGTCACAGTATATAGCGATAGCGGTCACAGTATATAGCGATAGCGGTCACAGTATATAGCGATAGCGGTCACAGTATATAGCGATAGCGGTCACAGCATAGAGTAGTCTCGACGTCTGTCCCCTCCAAACCAGGCTGCAAAACTCCATCAACTCACAACCTTTTTGGGGATTGGCACGCTCCATCGCAGAGCCCCCCCGATCTGAAGGCCGCACCGGGGTCTAGGGCGCCAAACCTCCTCCCAATAAAATACTCAAAAGCTTCTTGTTTCTCGTCTCTCCAAATTGAAATGCAGCCAGCGGAAGTTCAATTTGGTAGACGTCAGCCAAAGGTAACCCCTCCAGGCCGGTTCTCATCCCCAGCCTATCGCACGGCAAACGCCCCCTTCCAATCACCGGTCCAGCCAGGCAAGCCGCTTAAAAGCGGAGGAACTCCCATTCTCGGCCTTCTCAAAGCCTGCAACCACCGCCTCCCCTCCTCCTCCTCTTCACCCTGCCTTCATTCTGCCTTCAATCTGCTTCCCGCTGCCAAATGCCGCCACCAGTGCCTAGGTCCCGGGGGATTGGCACGCTCCATCGCAGAGCCCCTCCGATCTGAAGGCCGCACCGGGGCCTAGGGCGCCAAACCTCCTCCCAATAAAATACTCAAAAGCTTCTTGTTTCTCGTCTCTCCAAATTGAACAGCAGCGAGGCCTGGAGGTTGCAGGTGGAGGAACAACTGCAGCGACAGTCTCCGTGTGGGTTTGATCAGCTTTGAAATTCGGATTGAAGACATAAAAGCCACGGTTTCCTTACGTCGCCAAAACAGGCAAGTTGGTTTTACTTTTTGAGTCGGGGATTCAAATTAAAAAAGGCCTGGGATAACGGGGATTATCCTTTTTAAATAGTCGGGGACTAGTGCACGCAGTCTGGGCCGGGATAACGGGGTTTATCTTTAGATAGTCGGGGACTATCATAGACTGTATAATAACGGGGTTATTATTAAGAGTAAGTCGGGGACTACTTTTTACTGCAGTTAAAAGTGAACGGGGTTCATTTTGAATTAAGTGTCGGATTGCATCTCATTATGTTTTAGGTAATCGTGAAAGTGGTCTAAAACAATTACATTCCTTGTGATTAAACACCCAGGAGAAACCGGATGAAACATTAGGTTTTCATCTAGAAGCTTGTTTCTCGAGGAAGTAATTTGGCCCGTGAGGCATTCCACTAAGATCGTTTACAAATGTGTAATTAATATCCACTGTTGTATAAGCGAGGGCGACAGTGGCTCAGTTGGTAGGGCATTGGCTTTCAGGCCTGAAGGTCGTGGGTTCAATTCCCACCTCTGCACCTTCTCCACCGACTCCCACTGATGACTGCTGTCGTTGTGTCCTTGGGCAAGACACTTAACCCCACTTTGCCCAAAGCCCCCGCTGAAAGATCAAGGCTATGCTCACAGTCAGAGAGCAGCCGTCCTCCTGTGGACTCACCACCTGCAGAGGGTCAGTGAGGGGCTGGTGCTATGAGACTTGGGTGGTATCTCTGACTGCCACCCCCCTGACCCAGAAATGGATTAAAGGGTAGAAAATGGATGGATGGATGGATGGATGTTGTATAAGCAATAGTTAATAAATAAAAGTTGAAGAAGATATCGGAATAATAACTAAAAAGTAAATATGGGTACGTCCTGTACTAAAGCAATAGTTCTGACCGGAGACCCTAAATTTATGGAGAAGAAATATCCTGAATCAGTAAAATATTTGAAAACCTGGAAAAAGAAATATGGTTTTGAGGGTAAACTAACCCTGAAAGAGTGTGAAATACTGGTGATGAAAGTTAGTCTAAGACTTAAGTCCAAAAAGAAGGCAACAGAAAAACAAGTGCATGAACAGAAAATGGCAGAGTTGTGGCTAGCAGCTGCAAAGTGTAGAGATAAGCAAATAAAAGAAAAGAAGAGTAGGACGAGCTTAGTTGCCTTCACATCAGAAGAAGATAACTTGGTGCAAGCAGGGAGACGCCCTGTGCAGCAGCCACAGAATCCAGTACAACAGCAGCAAGTACAACCCAGACAAGTGCAGATAGAGCAGGCTGTAGCACAGGCTCATAACCACACAGCAGCACCACCTCAATATACCCCACTGCAACAGACAACAAATCCATTCCCAGATCATCCTGTAAAACTACAGGATCATTTGTATCCACATGCAGAGCTAGAAGCAGCAGCACAACCACAAGTCTGTGATGTGCAAACACCTGTTGCTACTAGATCACGGCATCCAATGAACGCGTCTTGGAACAAAAGTTTTGGGAGCCTTTTCAGTCCAAGGTTTGACTTCTCAGAGAGAGGTGCAGATGCATTTCCAATGATAGAAGTGCCCAATCCCACTCATGATCCACAAGTGTTAGGGAGTCTGCCTACAATGTATGTGTTTCGTACTTGGACGAAAGCAGACATAATAAAAGCCACAGAAAGTGTCCCGAGCCATAGAGAAAACCCACCTTTAATTTCAAATGTCAGAGGAGTGTTCATGACAGCCCTTCCCATGTATGGAGTTGCTTATTTAGGTCGCAGGATGAATGATATAGCATGGAATTTGGAAAATTTGACTAATATTGTCATGGACCTTACTGAACAAATCAGTACAGATCCAGAGAAGGGGGCTATGCGACAAATGATCATGCAGAATCGAGTAGCATTAGACTTTGTTTTATCCGAGACTGGGGGTGTGTGTCAGTTAATTAAAGATCACTGTTGTACGTTCATTCCATCATCCAACTCAAATTATTCACTAATTTTGGATCGATTAAAAGGTTTTAAAAATAAAATGTTAAGTGAACGAGACAGTACCAACATGAATTGGGACTTATTGTCATGGTTTTCTACTGGTGCATGGTGGCAACTGATATTGAAAATAGCAACACCTGCAATAATGATTTTGGTTTTATTTTGCATATTTGTAACTCCTGTGGACTCACCACCTGCAGGAGGATCAGTGAGGGGCTGGTGCTAAGCGTACTGGGTGCAGCTCTGACTGCCACCCCCCCCGACCCAGAAATGGATTAAGGGGAAGAAAATGGATGGCTGGATGGATATTTGTAACTTGTTTGTTACCATGTGCTAAGTATTTAACCAGCAAATTGATCAATACAGCAGTAGCTGATACCCTGTATTCAGATCAATGCCAAGCGTTGTTAACTCACACAATTGTAAATAATGATTTTGACATTTCCCTCTGAGTGTAAGTTTATTATGAAGGTATTACAGAAAACTGAGAAGAGATGTAGTACTGGATGTTGAATGGTTAATTTATTAAATTATAAACAGGGGGGAGATGTCAAGAAATGTTATGTGTATTATCATATTAATAAATGTGTGTAGATTAGTAGGGTCTAGTCAAGTTAACCAACTCATGCATTGAGGGTGGCGAAGAATGCAGAATTCTTTCAGCCCCCAGGCAAGAGTGAAAGACGAGAAGAGTAAACAAGCATGAAGCCAGAAAACATCTGGGTTGAGTTGGTCTCATACAAGAAGACACTTCTGATGGATGAGAAGATTGTTTTCTAACCTAGAGTTCAATAGGTCATATTGTCACATGTTTTAAATCTTCATATCCTGTTAAGTTTGTTATAAGAGGCGAGGCCTAACTATCACCGTGGTCTTTTGTGCTTTGCTTTTCGTCCGCGCAGACCCAGGCTTGTCTCTCTCTGCCAGTCTTTTATATGTGTTCTGTTTTATATATTAAACCTTCTTTTATATCTATCTAAGTTTGTAGTTTCCATTCTTTCATCGGGCGACTGTTTAAGGAAACCTGGCTGAACTAGCATAACAGTAATCTTTATTTATATACCGCCTTTCACAGACCAGAGTCACAAAGCGGTTTACAATTGTTATTATTTTGGGCATTTGTCCTCTCACTCCACACAGAGATGGGAGTGGGGTCGCCAGTATATATATAATATATATATACTATATATATATATATATATATATATAGTATAGCAGTATGTGTTCACATAGGTGCACCACGAGTTTATTTTATTATCAACAGTACTTCCGCATCGGCGAACACTTTAGCAGCACTTGTTTACAGTCACAGGAGAATGAGAACTCAGGCTGGAGGCATATGTTCACAAGTACTGTGTGCCCCATAGTCAGTCCTAGTTTAGCTCCTGTTTTAGCTGTTTACGAGTATCTTCAGTCTGCTCTCTAGACCGCTAGTGACCCTGTGACCACTTTGCGGCTCTCTGATTCGTCGCTGCACGTGCGACCGTCAGAAAAAGTTCAGCGATGTTTATCTCCTGCCTGCGTCAAGTAACTGCAAAGCCGCCTTTGCTGCGCAGTCCGTGCTGCGACGCACATTCAGTTTCACGTCCACACTCGAACGGACGTGACCATTGACTTTGCTTTGAAAGTTGCCGCAATGCATGATCCGGTCTGAACGCCCCATTACAGTAATCTACACTCAGGTGCAGATTAAAGGCAGTTATTTTATCTCAGAAAAGAGGCTAGATTTTGCAAACGCAAATTAGAATTAAATAGAATCGTATTTTGCTTTCGCTCCAGTTGTCTGCTGCTCTGTGGTGGACTTTTGCAACAAGAATCCAATGTTTGTGTTTGATAGAATGTGGAAAACTCCAGGGGTATGAATACTTTTGAAGGCAGTGTGTTTGTAAACAGACCGTTCCAGTACTCGCAGATGGAGATGTCCTGCCACAAGCGCAGGTAGCACAATTTGTACACCAGCTTCTTTGGGACAGGGACCACCTTCTTCACATAGTCTGTGACTACAACGCAAACACATGTGCTTCGTTAAGGCTCGTTCAAATATCCTGAAACAAGTTAGAATTACACATGTGCACATCTGTGTTCACATACACAGATAGGACACTTTTACTTCACTTTTTAAAACATTCAAAAAGTATTGAATTAGGTTACATTTATGAACCTAATTATGAACAAATATAATTTGGCTCATGAACAATTGATGCCCACAGGTTTTCTCTTAGTGCTCTCCTTGTTTGGGCGGACAGCCGTGTCTTGGTAGATTTGCAGTAGAGCCAGATGATGGATTTAGCTGTGGTCAGTCTTAGTCACAATTAAGTTACATTTATCCTAATTGTAGTAATTGTAGTAACTGTCTGAAAAGCAAAACTGAAAGCCTATGGTGTCGACCCGATACCGACAGCAGTATCTAGTATCAGACAAATGTACTGTCTGCTTGTTTCTAATGCAAAATATTCAAGGTTGGGGCTCTCAGTCTACAACAATTTACTATTTCTGTTCTTTTATTGTCTGAACAGTGTTCGTTTTGTCCTGCTGTCTCAGGACCCCCTTGAAAAAGAATTAGTTTGTCTCGAGGCTATCCTCAGCTCGTTCCAGTGGATACTGTTCCTTTTGACCACATGTTCTGTTTTCCTTGTCCATAATTGTATCACTCTTGAAAGTGTCTGACACTGCAGTTAAAAGGGCGACACAGTGGCTGAGTGGTTATCACTCTCGCTTTTCAGCAAGGTGAAGACACTTGGTCAGTTGTTAGAGGACACACAGTGTGTGTCTACGACATGAAATATTCAACTGAAATGTCTTATCCAAACAACCATTGATTTATAAAGGAAAATTATGACAACGTCAGGGGTGCCCAAACTTTTTCACACCACTGTACATAAATGTTTAGTTCTGGCAAACAGGGAAGCGAGTGAGTCTCTGACCTCCGAACTGTCCGGCCAGAGGAGAGGACAAGGCGATGAATGTGTGAATGTTGTGGTTTGGGATCACAGACAGCAGCGCTCTGCAGATCACACCTCCTGCACAACACAACACAACACACAACACAACACACAACAGCCGTTAGTGGCTTCTTTTCAATCATTTTACATCAAATAATATTATTCTATTTCACCAAAAATAACAAAGCAAGGCAAGTGTATTTATATAGCACAATTCATACACAAGGCAACTCAAAGTGCTGAACAAAATAGCATTAAAACCATAAAAAATCACAGAACATTAAAAGGAAAGATAAAAATATAAAATCCTTCAGTTGTATGCACAGCTAAACAGAACTGTTTTTAACCTGGTTTTAAACATTGTCAGAGAGGAGGCCTGTCTCACATCTTCAGGAAGATTGTTCCAGATTTTAGCAGCATGAATCTGAAAAGCAGCCTCCCCATGTTTAGTTCTGCCTCTGGACACTAACAGGAGTCCAGTCCCTGTGCTCCTCAGAGTCCGGGCTGGTTCATATGGGACTAACATGTCACTAATATATTTTGGTGGGGCGACAGTAGCTCAGTTGGTAGAGCATTGGCAGCATTTCAGCCTGAAGGTCGTGGGTTCGAGCCCACCGTAAGACCTACTTCACGACTCCCGCTGATGACTGCTGTCGTTGTGTCCTTGGGCAAGACACTTAACCCCACTTTGCCTGAAGCCCCCACTGAAAGATCTCAGCTCCTGTGGACTCAGCACCTGCAGGAGGATCAGTGAGGGGCTGGTGCTGAGTGTACTGGGTGCAGCTCTGACTGCCACCCCCCTGACCCAGAAATGGATTAAGGGGAAGAAAATGGATGGATGGATAATATATTTTGGTGCGAGGCCATGGAGAGCCTTGTACACAAGCAGAGCTGTTTTAAAGTCTATTCTCTGAGCCACAGGAAGCCAGTGCAGAGACCTGAGAACTGGACTAATGTGGTCGTACTTCCTGGTTCTAGTCAGTACTCGAGCTGCTGCATTTTGAATGTACTGCAGCTGTTTTACAGCCTGTTTGGACAGACCTGTGAGCAGGCCATTGCAGTAGTCTAACCTACTGGAGACAAATGCATGGATAAGAATCTCCAGGTCTGCTTTAGACACTATGTTTTTGATCCTGGCCATGTTTTGTAGGTGGTAAAAAGCTGCTGATGTTACTGATTTGATATGGCTATTAAAATTTAAGTCTGAGTCCAGTATTACCCCTAGATTTCTGACCTTGTTTGAAGGTTTTAGGGAGAGAGACTGGAGGTGACAGATGACACTCTCACTTTGTTTCTGAGGACCAAAGACAATCATTTCAGTTCTGTCTGCGTTTAGCTGCTGTGAGGAGCCCTGGTAACTCTCTGGTCTCTCTCTCTGGTTTATCTCTTGTCTCTTTCTGGTCTCGCTCTGTTCTCTCTCTCACTCGTCTCTAATTAGTCTCTCTCTCTGGTCCCTAGCTGGTCTTTCTCTTTTGTCTCTTGTTAGTCTCTCTCTTGTTAGTTGTTAGTCTCTCTCTTGTTAGTCTCTCTCTGGTCTCTCTCTCTGGCCTCTCTCTGGTCTGTATCTGGTCCCTGTCTGGTCCCTCTCTCAGGTCTCTTTCTCTCTTGTCTCTCTCTCTGGTCCCTCTCTGGTCTCTCTCTGGTCTCTCTCTGGTCTCTGTCTGGTCTCTCTCTGGTTCCTCTCTGGTCCCTCTCTGGGCCCTCTTTTGTCTTTCTCACTGGTCTCTCTCTCTCTCTCTCTCTGGTCTCTTATGGTCTCTCTCTCTCTATCATGGTCTCCCTCTGGTGTTGAACAACACTTAGTTTAATCATAGTCATAGCGTGTAAGAGAACAATGCAAAAACTCTGTGGGAACTCCAAGTGGAAAAACCATGCGCGATAAAAGCCATTTCCAGTGAAATCCTCCTCCACTGGCTCAGCCGGTCTGACTGCTGCACCCAAACCAGATCTGAGAGACGGCACTTTTTCACTTCCACTTGCTAGGTCTGTAAAGCGCTTCACAAGTGCAAGATACATAGATAGATAGATAGCTAGCCACCACCACTACCACCCATTTACACACACACACCAGACTCATTCTAATGGCTGTGAAGTGTGTCTGGAACTTTACAGCCGCAGCCACCCTACTGTGGCCCCTGCTGTTCCCAGAAGTCTCCCATCACAGGCCCTGCTCTGCTTAGCTTCAGAGGTTTGACGGGATCTGACTTATATCTGCAGGGGGCGCCACATTGTTGACATTTAATCAGGAATAATACATTGTGTTTGTCTCGGCAGAAACTCTAAATTCATGGACTTATTACAAAAACTGCAATTTCGTCTTAAGGTCTGTGCAAAAAAGACTGCACTTTTAGATGGATCTGCATGGAGGAATGGGCCAAAATATCAGCAGCAGTGAGTGAAAACCTTGTGACGACTTACAGATAACGTTTGAGCTCTGTCATTGACAACAAAGGGTACATAACAAGTATTGAAATGAACTTTTGTTATTGACCAAATACTATTTTCCCACCATCATTTGCAAATAAATTCCTTGAAAAACAGACAATGTGATTTTTCTGGATTTTTTCTCACTCTCATTCTCTCATAGTTGAGGTTTATCTACTTCTTCTTCAACATTTGCATAATTGGTGGCTGACTAAATACATTTTGCCCCACTCTATCTATCTATCTATGTTTGTATCTATCTATCTATCTATATATGTATCTATCTATCTTTTCCTATGTATCTACCATGTACAGTATGTATATATCTACTGTATCTATCAATTTATGTATCTATGTGGTTTTACCTTGTGAGAAGCAGAGCAGGTGGGCGCTCTCCCTGCTCTGGTTCAGCTTGGACTCCAGAGCAGACCGAAAGCCCTTGGTCTGAGTCCACAGAGGCCTCAGACTTTTTACATTGTCGAACAAGTCCAGAGCAGTGACCTCTGTGTCGGGATGGGCCTGGACACACAGACAACAGCGAGGATAGTAATGTTACTGCAGCTTTCCTACAGTCTCACTTATTCATAAATGAGCAGTGTCGTTAAATAGTATCTGACACTTTTCACTGTCTTTGCAAAACCATTTACTGAAATTAACCAAGCAGCAGACATCATCGCAGCAGTTTCTTCTTTGAACACATTACAAATGATTGTATCAGTCACTTTCATACATCATTTGCTTCTGTCCTGTCAGTCAAAATTAAACATAAGCTGAAGCTGAAGAGTAATTCTCTATAAAACTAAGTCATTACAGAAAAAAGTGTTGCCTTGAAAGAATATTAAAAAAAAATAGACAATACAATACAAGTGTAGACATACTGACAAATACAACAAGACAGACAACAGTGTGGATATTTACAAGTGTGTGTGCGTGTGTGTGTGGGTGTGTATGGGTGTGTGTTTGTGCGTGTGTGTGTGCGTGCGTGTGTGTGGGTGTGTATGGGTGTGCGTGTGTGTGGGTGTGTGCGTGTGTCTGTATGGGTGCAAGCGCCTATTCTGCAAATTTGTGCATCCACCAATCACCCTCATTGCCCCTATTTTCCCTTCTTATTTGTGTCCCAGTTTGCGTACATGTGTCTAAAGTGGTGCATTAAAAAGGAAACTATGGGAGGTTGTGTACTTGGTGCAGGGGTGCTGTCCAAGGGCATCTCCCACGTCTCCTGTATCCCTAGCCTTTTGCTTGAGTTATGGTGCATTAAAAACACAGACGAGGGTGGTGGAAGGATTATGGTTAGCTGTGATTTGATGAGGTGAGTTGGATATGAATGGTCTTGTTGACAGTGGAAATACTGAGGGTCTTGTAGGGTAAGGAATGGTAGTGATTGTAATGTATGACAACAAGCAGAAACTGGACAGTGTGCTGCTAAACAAAAGGGGAACTGTGATGATAAATACAGTGCTGTGAAAAACAAGGGTAGTCGGCACCAAGATGATATTAATTGTATATATATAAAATTGTAAATATAGTGTAAAACAGTTTCAGGGAAGAGGGAGACAAAATGGGGGCAGACACAAAATCGTAAGATCAGTTAAAAAAGACTTGAAAAAGGTAAAGGGCAACACAATGATGACATGATAATAGTACAAATAGTAAGAAAAAGGGAAGGGGTAGGTGTGAGTTGGGGGGTGTTGGATGTCAGTGCTTGTGTGAGAGGCTCTCAGAGGGCAAGTAGTTAACCGGTGAGAAAGTGTAAGAGTGTGGGTTTGATGGAGAGGGGTTCTGTAGTGGTATGAGTGGTTGAGGTGGGTGAGGTTGGTGTAGTGTCGAGAGTGAGATGGTCTAGGAGGAGATTTTTCCATTGGTTGATGGTTATTTTGTGTCTTGTTTTCCAGTTCATGAGGATCGTTTTCTTGGCGATGGCTAGGGCAGCAAGGAGAGTATTTTGGTCGTTGGGATTGAGGTTTATTGTGGAGGTGTTACCGAGTATGCACGGAATGGGGGTACAGGGGATGTGGCAGTCAAAATGGGGGATAGGATGTCAGTGACCCTCTCCCAAAAGTTGTGAACGTGGGTGCAGTGCCAGAAGGTGTGGATGTATGTGTCCTGAGTGTTTTGTGTGCAGTTAGTACAGTTAGCTGAGGTGAATCCCATTTTTTATAGTCTGTGCCCAGTGTAGTGTGTTCTATGAATAATTTTGTATTGAATGAGTTGTAGATTGGAGTCATTTGTCATGGAGTACATAATGTGGCAGATTTGTGTCCAGAAGGCAGGATCGGGAGGAACCAAAAGGTCCTTTTGACATTTGTCGATTGGGATGGGGCAGGTTGTGTCAGATTTTATGATAATTTGGTAGGTTTTGAAAGGTGTTTTATTGGTTTTAGGTTGAGGAGAGTGGTAATTGGTTGTGGGAGGCTGAGGTCTGCTATTGTAATGTTGTATGCTGCTGAAACGGAGGATTTTAGTTGTAAGTATTGTAAAAACTGGTTCCTCCCGTTTCCATATTCCAAAGAGAGCTGGTTAAAAGATGTAATTGTGTTGTTGTGCATGATGTGTCGTAGGTGCGTGATGCCTTTGTCTGACCATGTGCGCAAGTGGAGTGGTTTTTTGTTGCTCAGGATGTCAGGGTTATTCCAGATAGGTGTGTGAGTGGAAGGGCCAAGGGCTGAGTTGGTGATTTTGTGGAATTTCCACCAAGCTGTCAGGGCTGATGATATTGTTATGTGTTTTAAGCATGGATTTGATTTAATAGATTGGGTGAGAAAGGGGAGGTGTGAAAGTTCAATATTAGGGCTATGTGTTTGTTCTATGTCCAACCAGGTGTCTGATGGGTGGGGTTTGATCCATTTTAAGATGTATTGTAATTGCTTGGATGTCAAGTAATGAAGACAGTTGGGGGCGTGGAGTCCACCTTGCACTTTTGGCTTTTGTAGAGTGCTTAATTTGATGCGGGCAGGTTTGTTTTTCCAGTAGAATTTTATTATTGCAGAGTCGAGGGCGTTGAACCAGGTGGTTGGTGGTTGGGGTAGCATGGAGACGAGGTAATTAATATTGGGCAGTATGGACATTTTGACGGTTGCAATTCTTCCAGCTAGGGAGAGTGGGAGATTCATCCATGGCAAGGCAAGGCAAGGCAAGTTTATTTGTATAGCACAATTCATACACAAGGTAACTCAAAGTGCTGAACAAGATAGCATTAAAATCATAAATAATCACAGAACATTAAAAAGAAAGTCCCTCAGTTGTATGCACAGCTAAACAGAACCGTTTTGAACCTGGTTTTAAACATTGTCAGAGAGGAGGCCTGTCTCACATCTTCAGGAAGATTGTTCCAGATTTTAGCAGCATGAATCTGAAAAGCAGCCTCCCCATGTTTAGTCCTGACTCTGGGCACTAACAGGAGTCCAGTCCCTGTGCTCCTCAGAGTCCGGGCTGGTTCATATGGGACTAACATGTCACTAATATATTTTGGTGCGAGGCCATGGAGAGACTTGTACACAAGCAGAGCTGTTTTAAAGTCTATTCTCTGAGCTACAGGAAGCCAGTGCAGAGACCTGAGGACCGGACTAATATGGTCGTACTTCCTGGTTCTAGTCAGGACTCGAGCTGCTGCATTTTGAATGTACTGCAGCTGTTTTACAGCCTGTTTGGACAGACCTGTGAGCAGGCCATTGCAGTAGTCTAACCTACTGGAGACAAATGCATGGATAAGAATCTCCAAGTCTGCTTTAGACACTATGTTTTTGATCCTGGCAATGTTTTTTAGATGGTAAAAAGCTGCTGATGTTACTGATTTGATGTGGCTATTAAAATTTAAGTCTGAGTCCAGTATTACCCCTAGATTTCTGACCTTGTTTGAAGGTTTTAGGGAGAGAGACTGTAGATGACAGATGACGCTCTCTCTTTGTTTCTGGGGACCAAAGACAATCATTTCAGTTTTGTCTGCGTTTAGCTGAAGGAAGTTGTTTTGCATCCACTCACTGATCTGTTGGATACAGTGAAGGAGTGAGTCCACTGGTCCATGTTCTCCTGCAGTCAGTGAGACATAGATCTGAGTGTCGTCTGCATAGTTGTGATAGGACACTTTGTTTCTGCGTATTAACTGACCTAACGGCAACATGTAGAGATCCATTGTAATAGTTTGTCTGTTGTTGTTTTGAGTAGTGGGGAGTGGTTTAGATGAATCAGCTCTGACAGCTTGGAAGAGAAATTAACACCAAGGTAATTGATATGTGATTTGCATATAGGGGGTAGGTTGGCTGCCACATCCCAGTTGGGGTTTAGAGGGAGTATTGAAGATTTTTGCCAGTTTCAGGTTTGTGGGTTCTGCAAGAAGAGTAATATTTCATCTGAATAGAGGCTGATTTTATGGTGGATTTTGGGTGTTTGGATGCCAGTGATTACATTGTTTTGTCTTATTGCTGCCGCCAGTGGTTCAATGAATATGGTGAATAGGTATGGAGAGAGTGGGCATCCCTGTCTCGTTCCCCTGTGTAAAGTGCATCTTTGTGAGGTTAGTCCATTAGTTGTGACAGTTGCTGTTGGTGATGTGTATAAAGTGTTCACCCAGTTGATGAATAACTCTCCAAAGCCAAATTTCTGTAAAGTGGATTTGAGGAATGACCAGTTTGTCGAATGCTTTTTCTGTATCAAGACTAGCAATTACTGTGTTCAGTTTGTTGTGTTGTGAGTGATCTATAATGTTGATGAGTCTGCGGGTGTTGGTGGATGAGTGTCGACCCTTTATAAATCCTGTCTGGTCTGGGTGAATTATGGAGGGCATGATTTGGTCGAGTCTGTTTGAGAGGGTTTTTGTTATCATTTTGAGGTCAGTATTGAGAAGGGAAATGGGGCGGTAGCTGCTTGTGTGGGTTGGGTCTTTATTGGGTTTCAAGATTAGTGAAATTGCTGCTGTGTTCATGTGGTCTGGTATTTTGGAATTGTGTTTTATTTCTGTAATTAACCTTAAAAAGAGCGGGGAGAGTAGTGTCCAGAAGTGTTTGTAGAACGCCTTCAAAGAAGGAAGCTGTGATGTAGACGAAAATATGTGACAGACAGATATGAAGGCAAGGCAGTCCAGGAATTATGTATGTTCAGTTTACAGTATGTACTGTTATATTGTTTACATTTGTGAATTGCAAAGAGATATGCAGTGAATAAATACTTACATATGTGTCTTGTACTCAGTTACTCACTAAATACAGTAATGTGTAACTTTACAGTAGTTTTTGGCTCCTCAGTGCACAGTTCTGTTCATAAACACTGGTGAGACAGTTTCATTGGCATGAAGACTTGCTTTTCATTTTGAGAAAGTAACTTTTGCAGGTTTTCCATTAAAGTTTTGCAGTTTGTACTAAATGTTCTGAGAAATGCACAAACTGTTGTGCAAATGATAATAGGGATGTGATAAATTCACCAAAGCCACTGAAACTATCAAGGTAGTCATACCTGCAGGTGAAAGCCTTTACATTTTAAAGAATGTTATTTTGCCTGAGAAATTACTAAAACTCGTTCATGAGCAATATTTTGTTTACAAGACATTAATAAGAAAAAAATCATAAAATTAGGATATTTTGAAAATATACTGTAATCCATAAGGTGTAATGAGTCTTTGTGAATTAGTGAATGACTGAATTAAATAAACCTTTTAAAGAGTTTCATCTGTATATTATTCTACACATTTAAAGTCATTTTTGTCCTTTTGGTCATTTCCTCACCTGCTGGATGAACTTGGTGAGAGTCTTGAAATTATTTGGTTCGTCGAACAGTCCATGCACAATGATGACAGGTTTGTAGGCTTCAGAGCTACAGACCAGCAGCAGGAGCACCTGGAGGAACCCCTGCAGGAACAGCAGAGACGGCATGGTCAGGATCAGGTGCAACATTCACACAGTCACAAAAAGTCTCATTATAAACACAGTGTGAGAGAAACACTTCCTCTTCTGTAGAAAAGTATGTGAAACCACTCCCATGAACCTGCGACATCACTGTAGCGTGGAGCATGTGCAAAACCAAAAGACCAAACACTCAGGTTATTACAGTGACACAACAGAGAACACAATTGTATTCATGATTGATGGCTGTTTCTCCCACGTGTGATCACTGCTGAGCAAGTTACAAAAGTACATTATGACTTGTTACTGTTATTTCAAAGTAATGTGTTTCACTACTATATTAACTGTCTCTGAATTGTAAAGCATTAAACTACTACTGCATTACTTTGAAGATCATTTCACCAAAAATATTTACACATGTGGCAGTATGAGGGGGCGGTAGAGTGCATGCTTTAAAAGTCATTGGCCCGTCCCCATTGCACACTTCCTGGTCTGTTTGTTTTGATCCTCCGAGCTCTGCAGGTAGTGTTTGTTGTTCCATCCATCCATTTTCTTCCCCATAATCCATTTCTGGGTCGGGGGGGTGGCAGTCAGAGCTGCATCCAGTACGCTTAGCACCAGCCCCTCACTGATCCTCCTGCAGGTTGTGAGTCCACAGGAGCTGAGATCTTTCAGTGGGGGCTTTAGGCAAAGTGGGGTTAAGTGTCTTGCCCAAGGACACAACGACAGCAGTCATCAGTGGGAGTCGTGAAGTAGGTCTTACGGTGGGCTCGAACCCACGACCTTCAGGCCCAAAGGCCAATGCTCTACCAACTGAGCTACTGTCACCCTGTGTTTGTTGTTGTCTGTTCTGTTCAAAATCAGGCATTTAGCTAATCGATGCATTTACGTTAGCCCTGTGCCATGCAAGCCCCGGTGATCCAAGATGGCGTCCTATTCAAATCAATGGCATGTGCCAAATTGGTAAATTACTCCAGCTCTGGTCCTGACCAAGCAGAGTATCTACAGATGGTTCCTGGATGACCACTGCTCCTGACGGAAGCCTTAGCGGCATCAGGATGGGTCAAATGCAGAGGATGATTTGCCTGATGGGGATCAAGTGCACCTTTACCTTCGGTGACGCATGTGTCACCATGGACAACAAAAGATTAGCAGAACTCGCTCCTATTTGGGCATCGTCTGGTCCAATTATGCGTGTGTGGCTCTCATGCATATGGCTGGGCCATGCTCTGACCAATCAGCACCGCTCATCAGAGCGAAGCTAGAGCAGGAGACAAACAAGCAGAGTCTGTGGCAGTAAAGTGTAAGGATTTATCAAAAACTTAAGGATTTAACTAGAAATGAAATTAAGGACGACAAGGGACACTAAAATCTCCACAAACCCAACCTTTATGAAAGCTGTAGGTTCTCTGTCAACTGAGGTCGGGCTGCTTTAAGCCGCGTTCGGACCGGATCATGCGTTGCGTCAACATTCAATGCAAAGTCAATGGTGACGCACGTAAGAGTGTGGAACTGCATGTGCGTCTCGGGATGCACGCACGGACTGCGCGGCAAAGGAACGGCAGAGGCGCAGGAGCGGAAAATCGGGATTTGCAGGAGATAAATATTGCTGAGCGTTTCCTCGGGACGCTTGTGCAGCGACCAATCAGCTGCAAAGTGGTCACGGGGACAGAAGATTTTTCTGGGTAGCCCTGTAGTAATACCCTATCCAGATGTTTTTATAGATCCATGGTGCCATGTAGGACGGGGATGTTTCCTGCTCAGTGCAGGTGTCGAGGGTGCGTATGCCTCCTGCATTTACTGGAGGTACGTGTGCGAATGGAGGGAAAAGAACATATTATTTGGTAACATTCCATTGTCATCTACCATAGATGGCTCACTGGTGGAGAGGAGTGGCTGTCTTTTTACTGTTATCTTTCTGAGGTGTCAGCATGGACTAAACCTGTGCTGTACCTAAATACATGTACCAGCTTTATTTATAAAGCACTTTAAAGTGCAGCCAAAGTGCTGTACACAAAAACAAACTAAAAAAAGACTAAAAATACATATATAAAAAATATTACCTAAAATCAAACATTATCAAAAGCAAGTTAAAAAAGATGAGTTTTAAAAAGTGACTTAAAAACAGGCAGAGACTGAGCCTGTCTGATCTCAATGGGTAACTGATTCCAAAGACGTGGACCTGCGACAGAAAAAGCTCGGTGACCACGAAGCTTACGCTGTGTCTTAGGGACAACCAGCATCTGCTGATCTGCAGATCAATAAATATTTGAACTAACTTAAAACTTGAGCTTAGTCTTTAGATTATTTACAAATAAAGAGAACATAAATGTTATTCTGCCTCAGTTTCTTCATAAAACTTGACACTTCAGGTCAAACGTGTTTACAGTTTGCAGTTTGTTTTAAGTGGCACACATTCAAATGGACAAATGGACAAGGTCCTCAGGAAGTGCAGCTCTGTTCCCTGGACACAGTGCAGCAGGTCGGGGACAGGAGGCTACGTGGACCATGACTGTCGCCCCCTGCAGGACTCTCTGGAGAGCAGCTTCAGTGACAGACTTGTCCACCCTCGCTGTGTGAAGGAGAGATTCCAGAGGCCTTTTCTTCCTGCTGCGTTCTTTTAATACTTCCCTTCGCACACAAACTATCAGTAAATGCAGGAGGCTGATTGGTCGAACGCTGCCCCTCTGTGCACGTGCATGAGAACCACACACATTATGGGAGCTCGTCTCGAGAATGAGAGAAACCTGCTGTTGTCCATTGTCTGCTCTCTCTGGTCCAGTCTCTGGTCTCTCTCTCTTCCACAGGTCTTTCCTTTCTGCTGCTGTCAGTCTGTGCATGTGCCATTCACCTGTTCTAATAACACACTAGTCACTTTACCTGCTATATTGTATTATTATAATTTTATTACATATTCCTTTAATCTGATGATTCTCTTCTGATAATTCACTCGTCACTTTACCTTCTGCTGCTATTCTTATTTCAAGATTTAGTTTTTATACTTGTTATTGATGCTAGAGTTAGAGATTTTGTTTTATTTTAATTAGTATAGCTAGTGTTCACTTAACTCGTGCTGTATCTTTAGCCCGTCTGTCCGTGTAAGAGCGGATCACTTTCTCAATATGTGGGTCTCCCTGAGGTTTCTCACTTTTTTTTCCCACTGGGTTTTTGTGAGTTTTTCCTTGCCGATGCAGGAGGGTCTGTTCAGATTCATGCTGCTAAAATCTGCAACAATCGTCCTGAAAGTGTGAGACAGGCCTCCTCTCTGACAATGTTTAAAACCAGGTTAAAGACAGTTCTGTTTAGCTGTGCATACAACTGAGGGATTTCATATTTGTATCTTTCTTTTTAATGTTCTGTGATTATTTATGATTTTAATACTTTATTTTGTTCAGCACTTTGAATTGCCTTGTCTATGAATTGTGCCATATAATTAAACTTGCCTTGCCTTACTGTGGTGATGATCCAGGACACTTTAACATTCTACAACATGTATGGACATTTATCAACATGAACATTGCTCTCTCCTTATGGATCAATACATATGTGTATATTTTGCGTCTTAACTGTTGATTCTCTGATCTGTGTTGGTGATTTCACTGGTTTTGTTAAGTCCTCTGAGATGATGCTGTTGTGATTTAGGGCTATACAAGAATTGTTTTTGTTGTTGCTCCCCTTTCCTACTGTTCTATAACTTATGATGCAACACTGAAACTTCCCCGCTGTGGGACAAATAAAGGATCTCTTCATCTTTATTTTGCTCTTGTTTATTCCGCTTATGAACAATATAAAGTGCTAAATGTAAACTCCTGAAGTACAATAGAAACATCTGTAAATACCTGACTAAAGTGTAAACCAGGATGTTGTGGATTCAGTAGCTTCTGTAAATCCTATTGTATAAATTCACTTATACCAATAAAATAAGTATTAGCTGCAGCCCACTCCTTTTCGGTCTTTTTGCCGTTTCTAGTGCTCTGTGACAATGTAAAATTGACCGGAATAAACTTCATTCTTTCTTTTTGTCATTCATTCACAAAGACATTGAAATTACCCCACTGCGGGACAAGTTAAGGTTAATCTTGTTTTAGGTCTAGGACGGGCTGAGGCTGTCAATCTCTCTGGTTTCTCTGTCTCTGGTGTCTTTTTCTTAAGTCTCTCGCTCTGGTTTCTCTCTCTCTGGCCTTTCTCTCTATGACCTCTCTCTGGTACCTCTCTCTCTGGTGTCTCTCTCTCTCTCTAGTTTTGGCAGTCATCGGTTCCAGTGTGAGCCAGCCTAATCTGAAGAAGTGACAACAGCTGCTGGGGTCAAAACACGACTCAAAGGGATCAGAGGAGCTCAAGGCTTTATTTCACATTATTTAGAACCAACACCAGAAACTAGAAAACTTCATACAATTCACATGGTTTAGAGTCATCTGTCTCTCTTGCTCCATCTCTTGTCCTCTTCATTGAGCTTCAGTCAATGAAGCTCAATGAGCTTCATTGAGCTTCTCCTTAGTCTTCTTCTCTCCTCCTCCCTCCACCTCTCTCGTCTCGTCTCTCCCCCTTCTCTCTCCTCTCCTCCTCTTCCTGGTTCCATCTCTCGTCTTCCTCGTCTAGCTTGATTCCTCTCAGTGCTGCTGCTCTGCGATGGGCCTGACACTCAGACTCTGCTCTGAAACACAAACACACAAGTCAACTCTGCAAAAGTTGTTTAGACAGTGTTTTACTCTGAATAATGACAACGTAACGAGCCGTGGAGCTGTGTTTGGGGAGTGGTCTCTACACACAGTGGTCTCTACACACAGTGGTCTCTACACACAGTGGTCTCTACACACAGTGGTCTCTACACACAGTGGTCTCTACACATAGTGGTCTCTACACATAGTGGTCTCTACACATCGTGGTGGCAGTGACGTACTTGAGCAGGAAGGTGGCGCAGTCTTTGTGTCCGTAGATCTGTGCGATGCGCCGGGCCGTGTCGCCGCTGCGGTCTCTTTGATCCAGCGGCGCGTGGTGCACGTGCAGGACGCGCAGGACGCCGAGTCTCCCGCTCTGTGCCGCGAAGTGCGCCGCGCTCCAGCCCTGCTCCGTCTGCAGGCAGGAGCGAGCACCGTGAGAGAGAAGGAGCTGCACCACCTCTGTGTGACCTGCGGGGGCAGTAGAGAGGCCTGAGAGAGCAGAGAGAGCAAAGAGAGCAGAGAGAGAGAGGCCTGACAGAAGAGAGAGCAGTGAGACTGGAGAGAGAGAGAGAGAGAGAGAGGTGTAGAGAGAAAGAGAGAGGCCTGAGAGAGAGGTGTAGAGAGAGAGGCCTGAGAGAGAGGTGGAGAGAGAGAAAGAGAGAGACCAGAGGGAGACCAGACAATGAAAAACAGCAAGTTTCTCTCCTTGTGGAGCGATATATACACTTTCCAACTTATTTCTTTCAATTGTCCACCCTCCCCCTCTGTGGAAACACACTGTTCTCAAACTAATTACAAGCCAGAGTTCCTCATCTCGGTCATCTCTTACTCCATTAAACTCCTCCCCTCTCACCCCCTGCTGCTGCCCAGTGCAGAGGGCTCTTGCAGCTCCAGTCCTCGTCCCTCTGGTTCGGGTCGCAGCTGCCCTGCGTCAGAATGAGCTCCACTGTGGCCAGGTCTCCAGAGGCACAGGCCTGGTGCAGCGCCGACATGACCACATCACATCATCTGCACCAAACCAGAAAACACCAGGTATATGAGCCTTGAACCATGTGAGAGAGACCAGAGAACGAGACCAGAGAGAGAGAGACCATGGAGACCAGTGAGAAAGACCATAGTGAGCAGAGAGAGACCAGACACAGCAGATTTCACTCAACGTGGAGCGACATTTTCAGAATAATGTGAGAGTCAGAGAGCGAGACCAAGACGCGGGAGAGAGACAAGAGTGTGTGGTCCTGTTCTGGTCTCGATTATACTGGTCTCAGTTTTTGGTCCTGGTCTGGGTCCTAAGTCTTAATCCTAGGTCTAGTTTTCACAATATGTATGTTTGGCCTCCGTCACATCTTTAGATCAGCTTTTTCAGACAGAAAAGAGAAAAAGAGAGGACCCTCCTCCCTCAACCAGTCAGATCTCAGCCTAAAGAGTCAATTAGTGACTCACAGGGATCTTTCTTACACAGATGAAGACAGCAGCTGATAAGAAAACAATAAAAATACAACAGTCTCACCAGGTCCAGGTCCAGAGCAGTGTCATGGCAACAGGTAAACACACAGAGGCCCACACCGCCCCCTGCTGTCCCTGAGGGGAACTGCACCACAGATCAGATAATTTAAAAATATATGACAATAAAATGATTTAAATTGAAGGTGTGAATACTATGAATACAAAGTGGGTTAAGGACAAGGACATACGTTTATTATAACAGTTTTAATGAGTCAAAGTCATGGAAAAAGTCAAAATGTGGCATATAACAAATAATATAAATAAATTTGGTTTCAGTCTTCTGAAGGTGAAGGACAGTGCGGCCTCAGGACCTGAAGAGAATCAGAGAAACAAATATTTATATATAAATAAATATAAACAAAACTGTTTTCGCTTATACAGCTGGAAGGTGTAGAACCTTCATGTGAAGTCAGAACTTGTGTGGCTCTCTTTCTGGGTCAGTCTTCTGGTCTGGTCTGGTTTCTCTTGGTCTGGTCTCTCTCTGGCTGGTCTGGTCTGGTCTCTCTCTCTGTCTAAAATTACATTTGAAATGTCTTCAGCCCAAATAAAATCTATAAAAACTCTTTGTAAAAAAACTGTTCTTACCCTGTTTTCTCTCACTCAGTCTCTGTCATCGTTGCTGATTCAAAGTCCTGGTATTTTCCTGAAGACACAAAACAATACAATAATAATGGAGGATGATATGTTCATGACACAAGTACTCCCACAATTATGAAACAGCTTGAACTCCCAGAGCAGTCAATCTCATTCAAACAAATGGAAGTCTGAGAAAATCCTCCAAAAAATAGTTTTCATTTTACCTTTCCACAGACCAGAAGCTGATTGTAAATGTCACTCAAAGATAATAATACTCATGTAAAAAAATAACACGATTATTTCTTAGGAGGTACACAGAACCGCCCTCTGCACTTATTGAACAAAACTCTCTGGTCTTATTTGACGAGCACGTATCACCAAAATGAATGACAATTGGGAGGACCAATAGTCTTGATGATCTACCCGGGAGTAGAAAATCCTCCTATATACACCTTTAAATCTTGTGCTATCCCCAGGTCAAATCGACCCACGACAGTTTTTAAAGCATACTATACATACATTTTTCCTTAATATTTTTTACTCTACCAGCCCTGGGTCATTTAGACCCGTTTAGACTCTCATTTAAGCTATTTTTCTTCTGCTTTTAAATCACTGTGGTGGGTCATTTTAAACCTGAGGGTAGCACATAACTCAAAGTTCTGAAGACTAAAAAGGTACATACAATTTAGTAATTATACTACTAAAACTAAAAGCCGTCAATTTGACTGGTCTGGGAGTTCTAGCGTAAAGACTGAAGGTCTTACTCTTGAGCGTCTGGTCGGCGGACTCTTTCCAGAACTGCCTCATGCACTGGTTGATGTCGCAGCCTCCCTCGCTCTCCACTTCCACCTTGTACTGTGGCAGGCCCAGCTCCGCGTTTGTCTCCTGGTCCACAATCTTCACCTTGAGTTGTTGGTCCAGCAGGAGGTGGTAGAAGCTCTCGTCTGTGCCGTCGTCCCAGCGGCCGCGCAGCCGGTCGAAGCCGCTCAGCGCGCACAGAAACGCCAGCGGATGAGCTTCCAGAAGACTCTGCGTCAGAACTCTGGTGTCTCTCATGGTCACGTCGACCGCTTCGTTCCCGTAGTCGATGAAGACTATGTGGAACGAGTGGTGAAGTGTCTTGGCCTGGACCAGAGCCCGGTACCAGCGCTGGTCCTCGGGAAACAGGGCCAGGCACGCGGCCCCTTTGTCCAGAGTCGTGGGAACAGGCTGCGTGTGAGAGCACTCCTCTGCCAGCTTTAGGAGGCGCTGCTCCTCTTCCCCACTGTCAAATTGACACCAGAAGAAGTGCGGGTCCACGATGCAGGACGCATGGACCAGGACAGTCTGGTAAAGGGTCACGTCCGGACTCTTAAAAGGGACTGGTCTTATTGGTACTACTGGTTCAGCTGCTTTGGCTGGTACAGATTGTTCTTCTGGTACTGCAGTTGTTTCGGAGTGGGGTACGTTCTTGCTCGCTCCATTCTTCCAGAACGTCAGCATCTGCAGGTTGACCGACGCAGTCCCAACCTCCAGCTCGACTGCGTACTGAGGCAGCAGGGTTTCAGTGTTCGGGAATTTACGAACGGGCGTTACTTTAAGGAGACGGTCGACAATGAGGTCATGGAAAAACTGGTCTGCGTTCTGGTCCCAGGAACCGTTGTGGTTCTGGCTCTTGAACCCGTTGAGAAGGCAAAAAAACGCTCTGGGAGGAACGCTGAGCAGAGCTGCAGAAATGGGCCGGACATCTTGGAAGCCAACATCGTCTTCGTTCCCGTAGTCGATAAAGACGGCTTTGAGCTTGATGCTTTTGCTCAGGATCTGGGCGCGGTACCATGTGTGGTCGTCACTGAACAGGGCAAGACACGGATCGCCGGGGACCAGAGCGTTGCAGAAGTCCATATCCAACGGAACCTCGCCTTCGACTTGAGCCTGTTTGTGAACCTTGTCCAGTTCGGCGTCATCGCACAACTGGCACCAGAAGAAGTCGGGTCCAGAGACACACGTGGCGTACGCAGCAATCGTGCAATTCTTCTGGATCTGCACAGACATGAATGAAGCACGAGGCTGGGTCCCTTTGATCTCGTTATTTTTTTTGTCACTGCCGTCACTTTGTTGTTGGCAGAACTTGCTCTTGAGCGTCTCAAATAATCCTGTGTCGTCTTTAATCACATACTGTGGAACTCTGAACTTCTCGTTGTGCTCCACAGACACAGCTCTTGCCTCGTGCAGCCGCTCCGCCAAGGCACTTACAAACCGCGTGCACATTTCGTCACTCAGCCACTGGGTTTTCTCGTCACAGTTCTCAAAGCGGCATAGAAACGCTTGCGGCTGGACCGTCATCAAACTCGTCGGTATCTGCCTCACGTTTTTGCTTTGGATATCCGTCTCTTTGCCATAATCTACAAAAACAACGCTCACCTGATCTTTCTCTTTGCTGATTACTTGTGCTCTGTACCATGTGTTGTCTTTTAAATCCAAAGCAAGACATGGACTCCCTGGGCTCAAAGAGTTAGCGAATGAGGGATCTTCAACCCAACCCCCTTCTTTGCAGATTTCCTTGATTTTGTTGAGCTTGTCTGAGTCCTTGTGCTGACACCAGAAGTGTGCAGGACCAGAGTTGAAGGTGACAAATACAGCTAGTCTTTTATTCAGGAGAGCATTTGGAGAACTGTAGAGCACAGTGGATCCACCGTCTCTCTGAGTCTTGGCTTTGCTCTCGTTAGCCTCAAAGCGCTGCATGAGTTCATGGACCGCGTCGTCGTGGATTTGCACCGTGTATTGCGGCAGCTGTGTCTCCGGATGGTGCGTCACGTCCAAGACTGTGATGCTCAGAGCTCGTCCTTCTATCAGACTTACAAAGGCATTGTAGAAGGCCTCATCCCAATGCTGCTGAGTCTCCTCGGCTCCATCCAAATGAAAGAGCAGCGCCTGCGGAGCCACAGCTAGCAGCTCAGCGGACAGCGGCCGCACGTCTTCGTACCGCACGTCCTCCTCGTTCCCGAAGTCCACAAAGACAACAGTGAAAGTACTCTGGTTCTTGCAGACGACCTGCGCGCGGTACCACTGCTGGTCGCTCTTGTACAACGCCAGACATGGCTGATGCGGACGCAGTTGAAGCGGGAAGAGCGGGTCCTGCACCGCATGGCCTTCCACTTGAGCGAGTTCCGTCACTTGGTCCAGATCGTCCGCGTCACTGCTCTGACACCAGAAGTAATCTGGGCTTGTGATCGACGACGCGTACAGCAGCTGTCTCTGGGCTGTCACCAGCCGAGTTTTGTACGCCAGGTTTGGAGCCGGTGAGGGTTTGTCTGGAGTAGATTCAGCCGGTGAGGGTTTGTCTGGAGCAGTTTCAGCCGGTGAGGGTTTGTCTGGAGCAGTTTCAGCCGGTGAGGGTTTGTCTGGAGCAGTTTCAGCCGGTGAGGGTTTGTCTGGAGCATATTCAGTCATTTCTGTATCAGTGATTTCCACAGAGTTTTTATCAACATGTGCTTCCATGAGGCTTTGCGACATTACAGGTTTCTCTGTGATACTCAACTGTTCCACTACATTTGAGGCTGAGCTGGTTTTGTTGAAATCGATTATTTTCTCTTTCACTTGTGCATTCACGCTGTCCAACCCCTGACACAGTGCTACCTGCAGCCCACTCTCTTGACACAGCGCCCCCTGCTGCCCACTCCCCTCCACAGACATGGTGAACATGTTACCAACAACTTTAGCAGAGAACCAGTCGTTGATTTCTGGAGGGACTGTGTTGGGTATGTCGTACAGCGCCAGGGGAATAGCTAAAACTGGGAGAATTCTGGCAGCAACGGCGTCTTGTGGGAACAACTGAATATCTACTTGGTTTACAATCAGCATTTCACCAAAATCCACAAAATGGACTTTCAGCTGCGGAAACGTCTCGACCACTTGTCCTCTTTGCCACCGAGAGTTTGTGTGTCTCGCGACGCAAAGGTCACCGACTGCAAATGAAGAGATCATAGCTGAAGACTCGTGTATTCGCTTCTCAATGTCGCTCTGCACTCGCTCCAAAAGCTGCGTGTTTCTGTCCAGTTGTGCATAGAAACAGTGCACCGTCTCAGAATGTGTGACACGGATCTTCTCTTTCAGATTCCGTTGGATTCTGTGATGGGAATGATGGAACGCTGAAGGTTTTCCCGCCAGTTTTTCTGCCAGAACTCGAGACGTGCCTCCGGTCTGCGTTTGTAGCTCCACCACGGACAGCACACCGCCCTCTTCATCGGCCTCCACCGCCTTCACCACACACTGCAGGCCGTCGCTCTGAGCCGACTCCACGAACATGCGGAACTCCTGGTTCGCGCAGCTCACATCTGCGGGCGGGAGATTGGCCAGTGCGCATGGGAAGGCCTGTGCGCCCAGCCTTAAGAACGTAGGGTCAATTGGGTGCAGCTCCCAGAGTGACAACGTTTTAGATATGCCAAAGTCAATGAAGGTGACGTGAACCTCAGAGGGAGGCTGGTTGGCACTGACTCGGGCACGGTACCAGGTGTTGTTGTCTGGGTTTCGAGCAACGCAGATGTGTTCAAGCAGTGGAGCAGGAGGAGCCGAGGCGTAGTGCACCTGCAGCTTGCTCATGAGGACGTCCAGCTCATTGCGGTCAGAGCGCTGGCACCAGAATCTGTTTGCGGTGTCGATGGACGAGATATTTACGTTAACGTTAGCTCCGACTTTTAATGAATCACAGAAAGGCGTGTCCAAGGGCACGTTACTGTCTGGAGCAGTGTTTTGTGGTAAACCTTTTGGGGAGTAGCTACAGTTAACAGCATCATAGTTTTGGAACCGATTGTGTGGGAAACTTGGCCTCGCGTCAGTTTGATCCGTTGCTTCCGTTTTATCTGTGAAATAATCGTTGATACACGCGTCATCAGTGTAAAGACGAACCGTGTAGCGATCCTCTGGCAAAAGGTGACATTCAAATCGGCCGACAAGTTCGTGGTGCAGAGTGTGAGACTTCAGCTTGTCCAGGTCTTTCTGCTCCCACTGCCATGCATCACAAATACCTGCCAAGGAACATCTGTAAGTGGCAACAGGCATCCGCAGGAACTTAGGCTCCAGGTCTTTGATGTTTGCAGCTTGGATCACTTCAGTTTTTCCTTCGTCTACAAAAAACACCTCAACCGTGGCGTCTTCGGAGCGGACGTTATGATTTAAAATGGCGCGGCGCCACCTTCCGTCCCCCCCCAAAGCAGCACATGCCGTTCTCGCAGCTCGAGGGCGGGATTCACTGGCGCTTGCTTCAGCGTTCAACTCCAAGTTCATCTGGTCTGAGAGGAGGCAGAAGGCTTTGGAAAACACAAGGAGTTCACAGAAGAGAAGCCCCGGATGCACCGCCTCAGTCACCCGCACTGCCGCGTACGTGTTGAGGCTGAGTTCAGGGCAGAAGAAGCTGCACTCGTCGTCAAGCTGGCGGCACAGGTGTGAGCTCTGCTCCTCTCTGCTCGTCACAGGTTCCTCTCTTGGCAAACTTAGACTCTTCAACACCAGGTCTTTGAAGTCGCTCGTCAGGATCTTCTTGGCCACACCCTCTTTGCACAGATGTTTGGAGATCATCGGCAGGTCCAGCAGGATGTTCCTCTCGGGCATCAGCGCGTGCAGCACCAGGCCATGGAACTCTTTCCCAGGAAGTGACCGGAGGAAGTTGAGCGCTCGCTCCGGCCAGTTTTCGGCGCAGACCACGTTGGCGAGTATGCAGCACTCCACCTCGGGCGGTAGAATGAAGCACTCGTCTCTGCCCCAGGCCAGCTCCCGGCAGGCGGCTCGGTGTGGCCTACCCGTGTCAATGAGGAACACCTGGTAGTGCTGGTCGTGTACCGAGACTATACGAGCGCGGTGCCATCGCTCGTCCACGTTGGCAAGGCACAAGTCGCCGCGCTGGCCTTCAGGGCCGCAGAAGACCCGCTTGGGCAGCTGGATGTCCTGGTGCATCTTTTCATAGACGTGGCTTGTGTCTTGGTGCTTCTGGTCACACACCTGGTGTGTGTCCTGGTGCAGAGTGACCCATAGTTCCAGCAGACCAGCGCTCTGGTTGAGTTCGACCCGGGAGACAACCACAGAGACCTGGGAGCCCGCGATTGGAACGCCGGGCACAGAGCACATGGTTCAGGTCCAAGACAGACCTGCCGACAAGAGAGAACACCCTCAATCAGTTCTGAGCCCAAAGACGCCATTAGTCAGTTCATGAGACTTAAAGAAGCTATACCCGATTTTTTTTCTAAGTAGTTCATAAAAATGCTTAATACTACATACAAGTTGTATTATAATCCATAATTTAATTGAAAACTTGAGGTCATTGATTCAGCGGTGTATGAGTTTCAGCCGTGAAAAGTGCTGAGCAGAGTCTCATTCTCCTCCACTCACAGTACGAGCAGCCTGCGTCCTCTAGCCTCTACAGCGCTGCTTAACACCAGAGCGTCGACTTCAAAATTCGAATATAAAATTCTAAAATTAAATATATATATGTATTTGAACAAATATTTGACAACCCTTATAATTCGAAATGTATTTAATGACTGAAAATAAAATAGTTATCTCCCAAAGGTTTCACTGTGACGTGCTAGGCAGGTAACAGCTAAGCTAGCTAGTTCAAAAACTCTAGAACTACATGAAAACTGAACAAAGAATTCTGAACATCAGCGATAAGTTACCCATTTATATACCGAACCTAAATCCATCAGATCCTCTTCGTGTCCTAAAATGTTTGTTTCATGTTAATGGTTACTTCCGGGTTTTTCGCGATCGCTTTTTGTCATATTAAAATAGAAATTTTGTCATGAAAATGTTAAGAACAAATTCTGAAAACGTCCGTGCATGTGTGTTAAGGATGTATATGTGTACTGTATTGTCCAATTAGCATTTAATGGTGTTGATTAATTGATATTTATTTGTTTATTGAGCGTGGCTAGCTCCGCTAGCTTCTCTGCACGGACAACTGTGTGCAGAGAAGCTGCACAGTGTAGAGACAGGCGCTGAAGGCTTGTTGTACTTGCAAAGTAATGTTAGTATTTACAAACAGAGATTGCGTTGCCAAAGGGCAGCGGTCATTATTGGTTTGAGAGTTCTGTTTTCAAGAAAAAAGATCGGTAGAATTACAGTCAAGTCAATGGAGTGTTCTACTGCTGTGAAGAGCTGTATAATAAATTATAATTAAATATTCCAATATATTCCAATGTTTAAATTAATACATTCGGATGTGAAACTAGCGGTATTCTTTTACCTATATATTGTGTTAGCAGTGCGTTGCTTTAGTACCATTTCTTCAGTGATTGTTGTACAGCTTACAAGAAGTTGCGCTAACGCTAACGTTAGCATACATGTCAGATCGCAAATTGAGCTAGATGGCTCTGTGTTATGAGAGCGCAGGGGAAATGAGAAGCCATTGAGCGAGTTGGAGGGCGGTGCTAAACATTAAAACCTTGCAGAAACGGGTATAGCGCCTTTAAATTACAGACCCCAGCTTTAAACATGTGTTTATGGGATTAAAGTTACAGAGCCCAGCTTTAAAATTGGTTATTTATGAGACTAAAGTTATACCTCGGCTTTAAACATCTGTTATTTATAAGACTAAATTTAGACCTCAGCTTTAAACATGTGTTTTTTGAAAGATGCGCTGGGAAATGGCTGAAACTGTGTTTGTTTTGTGCTTTACAATTTTTTTTTTTTTATTGCTTTTTTCTGCCCGAGATGTTTCTGCAGTACAGAGTGCATAGTTTTGCCCTGGTCCAGACCAGAGGAGAGAGGATTCATGGTCTGATCCAAGCGGATCAGATGAAAATCCATTGGAGGAATGCTAACTTTTTGAAAATTGCTAATGAAGCTTTTAGCATTTTACTTTGGACCAGAGAAGAGAAAATACTCCGAACCAAGCGGCTACTCCACATTTTGACCTGTCCAGCTCCACCCAGAGGCTACTCCACCTCTGCTTCTGTGACCTGAAGGGCTGTTGCTTACTATTACTATTGTTATCTTTTTAGAATGATCTATTTTATATATTATTTTTGCTGCTACTGGACACCTGAATTTCTCTGACGGGGATCAATAAAGTATCTATCTATCTATGAGACTAAAGTTAGACCCCAGCTTTAAACATGTGTTGTTTATGAGACTAAAGTTACAGACCCGAGCTTTAAACACATGTTATTCATGAGACTAAAGTTAGACCCCAGCTTTAAACATGTGTTGTTTATGAGACTAAAGTTACAGACCCGAGCTTTAAACACATGTTATTCATGAGACTAAAGTTACAAACCCCAGCTTTAAGCATGGGTTATTGATTAGACTAAAGTTACAGACCCCAGCTTTAAGCATGGGTTATTGATGAGACGAAAGTTACAGACCCCAGCTTTAAGCATGGGTTATTGATGAGACGAACGTTACAGACCCCAGCTACATGTGTCATTGATGAGCTTTAAACATAATGTGTGGGTCAACAGTAGAATGACATCCGCGCATGCGCAAATTGCTCTCTGACACGTGTGTTTGGACTCTAGTCTCCGATTCTCTGCTCACAGCCACACGCACCGATTCAGTATGCGTCAGTATGCGTCGCTCTCGAAACTCACACAGTATCCCTCACCGTTTGCGTCAGTATGCGCCCCTCGTGGACCTCAGACAGCGTTTGCGTCAGTATGCGCCGCTCCCGGACCTCTGGCTGCAGTTCTGATTCTCATTCAGCACAGACCACAGTGCTGCGCGGGAGATCTTCCGGGTCTTGAGCCAATTCACGTTCAGGCCCCGCCCCCTTAGTTATGAGTATTATTTACAATATTCAGGATAAATAATAAAACACCACATAAAACAGACACAGACCAATTGGATGTCAAACTGTACGAACACTCTGAAGGAAGATCCAGAGAGAGATGGAGACCGGAGATAGAAACAAGAGAGAGACTGGAGAGGGACCAGAGAGAGACCAGAGAGAGAGGCCAGAGATAGAAAGCATAGAGAAAGGCAAAAATAGAAACCAGAGAGAGCGTTCATGGACCTTCTTTCTACTCCGCTGAGATGATTGTGAAAAGTCTTGAAAGAGTGCAATGAAAAATGTTTTAGCGTTTTGTCATGTGTTGACCACAATGAAGATGGTTTGAAATGATGGCTTTCTCAAATTGTGAAGAGAAAGTTCAAATGATTCCTGATTTTGTTATTCAAATATGATTGACCACTCAAATGATTGATGAGTGGTCACATGTTGTCCTTCATAAAGACAGAGCCACCTGTGAGTCATCTACAGTGTTCTGCTATAACAGTGAACAGAATTGTGAGGTCCAAGAAGCACACCCAGAGGTCAGGGATAAAGCAATGTTGGAGCTGTTTTTGTATTTGTCTTCTGTATGTACTCTCTGTCTCCTACCACTGAGTGGCGCCACTTCGCTATTGTAGGCCCTATAAGTGGGTATACATCTTCTGATCGTCATCCATTACCTTTGTAGAGTTGTAGATCTGTGTGGAGGGATAAATACTCTCAGGAAATGGGAAGGTAGTGGTGTCATCCATGTTGGAAAACCATTGTCCCTGTTTAACTGGTACTAACCCCCCTGGTTCTAAAACAGCATTGTGTTCTAACTACCAGTGGATAGATCCAGGGCCAAGCAGAAACTATAAAAGTACCTGGTACCGATTAATCCGGGCCGGTGAGCAGTAGAGTGGGGTCAGGTCGAGCTGGGGGAACTGGGGAGTATGTTTAGTCCTTTCTTTTTAGTCTGAGCACATTTCTCCATACAGTATTACAGGTGCAAGAATAATCCAACAAATGCCAGTGTTGGTGCATGAAATGTACAAGAATCTCAAGAATGATTGAGATTGTGATGAAAAGATTCTTTATTCGTCCCACAGTGGGGAAATCAGTTACAGAACAGTAGGAATAAGGAGCACACAGCACAAGAGAAATGAATAATAACTGAAGTCTAGGCTGTTCTCTGTTGGATGTTCAGATGAGCCAATCCTTAATGCAGTTGTTGAAGACGGTGATGTTGCTGTGCATGTGGGCATGAGGGACTCCAGACTGAACACAGACTGAGATGTCTCCACGAGAGTCCAGCGTCTTCAGGCCAAAGGCGTCAGAGGTGTAAAACTGTAAACCACAGAAACAACACATTTCATTAATAATAATAATGATAATAATAATATTGCATTGTGAATCCTCCTCCTACACATTACAACTGTCTGATTTTTTTGTGTGTCCTCCAGGCAACTTCCTTTAATGAGAGCACTTTCAAATGTTCATGTAGGCAGAGTAAGGCTGGAACGGGTGGGTAGTTTTCCTTTAAGAAATGTTGGAAAGACAATCTCTCCCCATAGTGATGAGACGAAGGTTCTTATCTGATAAATGTGTTGCTGTTGAGCAGCGAGGTCCTGACACATCTTCATTTATTAGAAAAAGTAAGAAAAACTATACAAACATTTGTACAAATATAAATGATCTGGAACATAAACCATTTTTCCAATAACCGTGTCTTAAGGTGCTTTACATCCATAAGTTATTTTATTATTATTGTTATTAGTATTCATATCCTGCTTTATTTGTGGATAAATCTCAATCTCATAATTATTTGTTAACATAAACAAAGTGCAAATGTTCTGAGAACACCAGTCACATTCTAAGAACGTGCGTTGTTGTGGTAACCACGATGGAATCCCCTGATGTCACGTGTTGCTATGGCAACTGATGATGTCACCTGCCCCAGACAGCTTAAGGCAGACTTGGGCCACCAGTACAGATTCAACACAGGAAAATGGTAAGTCCTGCATTTGAATGACTTCATTAATAATATGAATTTTACCACAGAGATGGAGGAGGTTAACTTTCTCCGAATCGAGAACCAGCGACTGAAAGCTGTCGTTGTGGATAAAGAGGCGGAGATTTCCAGTCAGGAGGAGAAGTTTCAGATGATGAAGCAGGGATACACAGAGGACTTCCATTACTTATCTGCCAAATTCCAAATCTCGATAGGATCGCTCCCGATTCAGGAGAAGGGGGTTCAGACGGACCCCACTCATGTGGAAACCGCTGTGCAGATCCTGACCAGCGAAGAGATGGACACTGGAGAGTCTGCAGAGCCCACTCTGCTCCAGGCAAGCATGGGGGAAGATTGTAGCTTCTGGAGTAGATTCAAAACTGTGGCAAAGAAGGGGGCTGTAGCCAGTCTGGCAGTAGTGGCCCTGGGATACAGCCTTTCTTTTTATGCCACAGAGACGTTTGGATTTCAGACGTTTACCAACCTCCCTCCTTATTAAGCGGTGGTCGGTTCTGGTGGATTCACATCAGGTGAACAGTGCCTGTTCACATAACTTATGTGCATGGGCAGTGTTCACTTAAGTGAATCACTTTAGACTTTGTTGCTTAACGTTCAGAGTCTACAGCATCACATGTGATGTGTCCAAACCGATCCAGAAAGGGCAGCTGTGGCTGCATGGTTCTATCAGACCCAGGAGGAGAAGAGCAGACTCCACTCATTTCTTCAAATCTTCAGGTTAAGACTGAACTCACTTGAGGAAATGAGTGGAGTCAGCTCTGCTCCTCCTGGGTCTGATAGAAAACCTGCAGCCACAGCTGCCCTTTCTGGATCGGTTTGGACACCGACATCACATGTGATGCTGTAGACTCTGAGACGCTTTGGGAAAGTGAGCAGTGGGCCCTGAGTCTTTAAATTTTGTCCAATTCCGAAATTGGACAAAATTTTGTGACAATGACCCTGAGAACACTGCAAACGGTTCCCAAGGAGTTTTTAAGAGCAGCAATGTACAAAGACTAGAAATAATAACTATATTTTTTACAGTCTTTGTATAATGATAATAACTAAATTCTAAATTCTGCTAAATTCTGGCTTCTTTTGGGTATCTTTGGGAATTTGATTAAATTGGCTTTAAACTTCGGTGTGTAATCTCCCCCGTGGACTGCCACCTTAACGTGGTGGGGGAGTTTGAGTACTCGGATGATCCTTGGAGCTATGTTGTCTGGGGCTTCATGCCCCTGGTAGGGCCTCCCATGGCAGACAGGTCTCGGGTGACGAGTCAGACAAAGTGCAGTCCGAAACCACCATAGAAAGCATTACAAGAAGAACAGTGACGCCGCCCGGTATGACGTGGGCCCCACCCTGGTGCCAGGCCTGGGGGTGAGGCTTGTAGGCGAGCGTCTGGTGGCAGGGCTTTTTTCCCCGGGACCTGGCCGGGGACAACCCGAATCAACGACGTGGGCCAGCCCCCACAGAGAGATCCATGACAGGCCAGAGAGGACTGGATGGCAGTCGAAAGAGGAGACCTCAACAACCCCGTCCGCAGATACACCATCTGGCTGTTGGGACGTGGAACATCACCTCAATGGGGGAAGAAGCCTGATAAAATAAATGTACAGACATAAACCGACTGTTTTCTAGTTTATTGTAACATTTTGTTTTCTGAGCCTCCTCAGGCTTGAGAACAGCCCCTTCGTTTTTGACTAGCGTTGTTCTAGTCTTTAATGAAATATATTACTTTTCTGCAGGTGGCAGCATAGTTGTTTAAAAAAAAGCTTTTCAAGGATTTTAGATAAAAAAGTAAGGTTTGAGATTGGTCTGTAGTTTGTACCTGATTCAAGATTTGTTTTTTTCAGAGGAAGTTTGATTACCACAGTGTTAAAAGCTAGTGGGACATAGCCTCTTTGTATCGATATATTTATTATAATTAAGATAGGCTCTATTATTAAAGTGTCCTTGAAGAGCCGAGCTGGGATTGGATCTAAAATGCAATTGAGGTTTTTGGAGGATGCGACCGCAGAGTTCACTTCTGCTTGGCTCACAGACATGAACTTGAGTTTGGACATGCCTGGTCTAAGTAGAACATTAAGTTTACAGCTTCAGCCGGTTCAACACTGATATCGGGTCCTTCCTCAAGGGGACGTGTTCCAGTATCTCAGGTCTTGTTCACTGTGAGGGTAGGAGCAGCATCAGCAGTGATGCGGTCGCTCTATAGGACTGTTGTTGTGAAGATGGAGCTGAATCAGGCTGGCCTGGGAACACCTCATCCAGCTGCAGTCGGCCTGCGTGAAGAGAAACTGCATGTGAAGAGGATGGATGTCTTTAGAGGAGCCCAGAACAAGTGCCAGAGGGATGAAGAAAGTTCAACTGAAGATTGCTCTGAAGAGATCCAAATGTAGTCACATTAAAAACAAGTTAGTGGATCAATACATTCTTTCCATGATGTGGACGTCAAAACATAAGAGGAAATGGGACTTTAATTCAGCTTCATCACGTCACCGCGTCAGAGTCAGAGTTTGTATATCTGTCTTTTTACTCTCATAACTTGTTTGCACCATGAGCCAAAGCAAATTCATAGATTGTGACTTCCTGTAAAATGGCAATCAGTGTTATCTCATGTTATTTATTTTTTTGCTTCCTCATCTTTCTCGTTTAAAATATATACATTAAAATACATAGACAAGCCTGGCTACGGAAGCCGAATGTGCATCTCGTTGTCATGGGAACCAAAGTTTGTAGCTTTCTGCGGACTTTTCCAAAGCACTAACGATAATGCATCACTAAATTAACTACGAAAGCGCAAATCAAGTATAAGTCATAAATTCTAAGTCTTAGATTCAAAGACTTCGAACAACTGCTTTGTAAGGCTAGTTGTGTGGGAGAAAATAATCGCTCAAAAAACTGGTGACGTATTTCCGGCTTTTCTCCAGAGCATGGACGAAGTTGAAAACATGACATTAGTAAAGGGCATTGTAAGATAACTTCAGGAAAAAAAACTACTGTTCTTTTATCTAAAAAACACTCCCGTAGGTCCACGCCAATGTTGGTTCTGCGGGAGCAGCAGATACGGTGACTTTTGGGGCTAAAACGTCCTTATATTCGCTCAGAGTTAGCCTCTGGAGCTAACGAGCCCGTGTCACAACAACAACGTTCGGAGGAGAAGCAGGTGAAGACACAAACCTGAAACCATTGTTTTTTATGTGGATATTGAGCTGCCTTTTGAGACTAGTTGTGGTGTAGATTTTGCCCTGATCGTGGCTTAATACTATGAACCAACGTGAAGTTAATGTTCCAGTTAGCTAGTTATGTCCATCAATCTGCAATATCCTTAACTTATATCAGAATGTGAAATAACCACATGTCACTGTCACTAAACTGAGTCACTGTGCCCCAGAGCCTCATGCTGCTAATGTACAGATGTAAACATACTGCTGCTAATGTACAGGTGTAAACATACTGCTGCTAATGTACAGATGTAAACATACTGCTGCTAATGTACAGATGTAAACATACTGCTGCTAACATGTACAGATGTAAACATACTGCTGCTAATGTACAGATGTAAACATACTGCTGCTAATGTACAGGTGTAAACATACTGCTGCTAATGTACAGGTGTAAACATACTGCTGCTAATGTACAGATGTAAACATACTGCTGCTAATGTACAGATGTAAACATACTGCTGCTAATGTACAGGTGTAAACATACTGCTGCTAATGTACAGATGTAAACATACTGCTGCTAATGTACAGATGTAAACATACTGCTGCTAATGTACAGATGTAAACATACTGCTGCTAACATTTACAGATGCTAACATACAACTAGCTACACATTGCTTGCACTAGAATACACAGTACTTACCTGCCTCTTATTGCCAAATGTAAAACTTTTACATCTCTTTTATTATTTTCAAGATAGAGATTTTATACTTGTTATTGATGCTAGAGTTATCACTGAAATTTTCCCCCTGTGGGACGAATAAAGGATCAAATCTTATTCTAATCTCAGACGAGAAGCACTAGGATTATGTGCAGTCTATGGCTAGTTTAAGGTAGACTTCATTCGTCCCACAGTGGGGAAATGTCAGTGTTGCATCACAAGTTACAGAACAGTAGGAATGATGAGCACACAAGATAAGTGAATATGAAGTATGCCTGACACTAATAAAAGTAGTAAACAACGTATATACATATACAATATTAATATTACAAGAATACTGTATGTATTTAGTTGAGTTTTATTAAAAGTAAGTCACCTGCACTAAATGTGAAATTATGAATGAGTCACGACTATCCATTCCCCTAATAATCCCAATGTGTGTTATATTAGTCACATGATTTGGTTATGTTTCCAAACCGGTGCAGCCGTAACTCCCACGTGTGCCTCCCACAGAGCCATGGCGGGGCTGGAGCAGTGGGTGAGCGACCGCCTCCATGACATCCTGGGCCTTAGCGACCGCTACGTGTCTCAGTTCATGATCGGATTGGCTCGAAAGGCGTCCAGCGCAGATGACTTTGTGAGCAGACTGCAGCAGACGGGGACCATCGACATCGACCAGAGCGTGACAGGCTTTGCCCATGAGCTCTATACCAAGGTACCGCCTCCGGTGTCCTCCTCAGAGTCAGGACATGTCGCACTGAGGATCTCACTCTGAGCCACTGAAGAACATTTATTTGTATTGCACATATCATACAAATACATGCAAGTCAATCTGTATTTACGTTATAAGCACGCATGATTAGATATGTACATGTTATTGTAGAATCAGAAGGATATTAAAGTTGATACTGGATTTATGGCCCTAAACTGATTCCTATTCTTAACCCTAACTCTAATTCTCTCCCTGTCCATTTAATTTGGAAATCACACACACACACACACACACACACACACACACACACACACACACACACACACACACACACACACACACACACACACACACACACACACACACACACACACACACACACACACACACACACACACACACACACACACACACACACACACACACACACACACACACACGTTTTTGTTACCTGGTGGGTCCCTTTGACAGGGCCGTTCAGAATGGGACCCATAGACATAATCTTTTTTTACCAAGACTACAAAACAGTCAATAGAAACCAAACAACTATTTTAAAGGAATTTTATTTTAGATTTTGTTTTCGAATTGCAGTGATTCTATTTTTGACATAGAATTTAATGCCACTCCATGTCCGATGTCTAAGGTCATCTGGTGAGGCATTAATGCAGGCCAGGCAGTGAGACTTCCCAGGGACCTTTCCAGTCTGTATGAAAGGTGTCATGGTCTTCTCCACAGCCTTCACCTCAGATGCAGACCATGGCTTTCTTACACGTTCTAGGGAGAGAAATAAAAATATATTAGCAATATACACTCCCAGGGTGAGGACCAAGCAGCCTGGCTGTAATCCCCCACCTGGTACACTTACCAGAAGGGGCACTGCCACTACCATGGGGTGCATCTGGATGAATGGTTGAAGGTTCTCCGCTTGAAGTTTCTTTTAGCCCGTCCGTTTGTGAGAGGATCTCTACTGCTCTCCCTGTCGCACAGAAAATAAAAATACAAGTGGCCTTTAGGGGAAAAAAATCATACATATTTTAATAATATCAAGAATTACCTTCAGGCTCAATTTGTATCTGGTCGAGGCTCTTTCCTTCGAATTCCGTCACTCTTCCCTGCTCCATGGCCATCAACACTTTGCTGATTTTGGCCAGCTCCAGTGTCCCCTCTGGTAGTCTGTAATATTGCCTGTGGATGCGAATGTCATGGCCGAGGAAGTTGGCAAGTATGTCCATCTCATTCTCTTTCATATTGAGAACTGTAGACATAGTAGCTATGTGCTTTCTAAGTTTGGTTGAGGATAGCATCTCTGGATGCACCGCACCACATTCTTTGGCTACCTGGCGTAGGGAGTCTGATCCCCTGATGTGGGTGTCTGCGCCCGGGCGGGAAAAGAAGTATGGGTTATGGTCAGAGATGGAACAGGCCCTTCTGTTCTCCACCAGCACCTCCATCGAAGCAATCATTTCAGGAGTCAAAAGAACCGGCACTTTCCGACTTCTTTTCCCTTTAATTTCAATGCGTTGAAAATGCTGACACAGCTTTTTCTCAAGTTGGGACAGTCCCAGAGCAATGTCAGAATGGATCCCAGTCTTACTTCTTAAGGTAAAGGCTGTCAGTGGCATCTTTGAAACCTCACCTTCCCTTCTTCGATTGAAAATGATGACCTCACAAAGAGTCAAAACTGCCAGTTTAGACCAATGCTTAGACGTTGGCTCACTTATTAGGGTTTGCACATATTCAGGTCGACATACCTCAATATGTGCATGCATGGCTCTAACGTCCTCAGTCAGAGGGAGTAGGTCCGGAGTGTTCCACTTGGCTTGCCGGAGGGTCTGTAGGGCAGCAGAAGAAACACAGACGTCCCACCTCTTCTCAAAAAGCAGCCGGCTTCGTTGGAGGTTTTTAATAAATAGTTCATCAACACAATGCTCCATTTTTGAGTCACATTCAAGAATATCTGCTAGCTTTCTGAGGCTATGGCCGAGTTTGAGGGCCAAGGATGGAGTCTTGTATTGATTTGTTTCCTCATCATATCCAGCCACAGACCTGACTGCATCAATCACATGGTTAAAGTTGGAAGGAATAAAGAAATCCTTAATTGTTTTCAGTTTCCCTGCGGTTTTTGCTTCGTTAATTAACCTACCGACTTCTCTCATTTTCTGCCTAATGTAATCATGCTTTGTCTTATCATGCCCGTGTTTTAAGTACAGGTGCTCTCCGAGTCTCAGAATCCCCTTTTCTGCTTTGACAACACCCGTGACCTCATCCTGATGCATTGCCGAAATTAAAGACCACAGCTTTTTGCTGATGCCCTCCGGTACAGGCTGGGCTAGGGAGCAGAGGGACTGGACCCTACTTCTACCTGGTTTAGCCTGGGCATCTTTCTGTGAAAGCCGGCACCTGGCCACATGCCTCCACAGCGACTTTCGCTTAAGCAATGCCCCACAGTCTATACAGTGCAAAAACTCACTGGATTTAACTGGGCAATTTGGCTGTTTAGCTGGGACTAAAGTTCCAATGCCGGCCTTTAAAACCTCAAAATTGTGCTCACGGTTTCCACTATTCCTGATCAAATCAAACTGAAGTTTACGTGCTTTAGATTTCACAGGTAGAGCCAATGCTCTGGCTACGTCACTGTCATTTCCATGTTTTCTAGTCAAATGACGGGACATTTTGTGGCAGGACATTGAACAGTAGAGGCAGAAGTGTCTCTTGCTGTATACTCGCCCCCCATTTTTCTTCTTTTGCAGCTGCATGATAACAATCTTATTTGCCTTTGGTTCGTCACTTTCCGAGTCTTGAAGAAAAGTGTTTTTGATTTTTCTTTTTCCATACTTTTTTACAGGTTTCTTCTTGACAGTTAAATCGTCAGAATCTGAGTCGACTTCATCAATTAGGGACTCTTGACTAAGCTGCACAAACAACAAATAATTTGTAATCATTCTATATAACAATTTGAAGTCATGACTTGTAGTCAGCACTTACCAGTGGTTTGTAAGCGTGCGCTTCAGTGTGCTCCTCCATGATTTCTTGCAGCCTAATGAACCACACACTTGCACCTTTTTCTAGCCTGACACCTGATTTCCTCTGTTGTGCTGCTCCATGATTGGCTCCAGCCTGCTGGACTGAAATTGCCCCAGTGTGCCCCTCCTTGATATCCCGCAACCCACCACCAGGGTTCCGACACATAACACACTTTTTTCAGGAAAGTAAACCTCCAGGGGTCCTTTCCATATTTTTACAGAGACTGCATAAGGACCGTTAGAAAAGCATTACCCATTGATTATTAAGCTTGGACCAGTGGGGTCCGGTGTTCGGGCCCCACCACGTAAAACCAGTCCCCATGACGTGAGTGGAATCTCAGGTTATGGAACCCACCAGGAGTTGAAAACAAGTGCACACACACACACACACACACACACACACACACACACACACACACACACACACACACACACACACCTCTGCCACCAGCGCTTGACTGTTGCGGAAAGCGCTGGGTTCAAACAGCTCATGTCCTGCTTCAATCTGCCATCGCGGAGATATCTGACTGATGTCTGCCTGCCGCAGCTTTACCAAACTGTATATTCTCACAATGACACTCCAGAGCATGGATCTATTATAATAACAAGTCAGAGACACACCGCGCAGGCACAGCACACAAATATTGAATTAAGATGAGTGTAGTGGTAGTACAGACAGTCCTACAGTGTCGCAGATGTAGCGTTACTTACTACATAGTTGCACATCGGAGCAGACAGCCCCTTGTTTATTGGAAGGAAAATAAAAGGCGCTTCCCTCCTTTGGCCAAAGCAGCGTCTTTCCTCTGCGCTCCATGCACAAGTGCAGACAGTAAGAGTTTAGCGCAGCGGGACTATTCAGGATGATAAACGTAATAAACCCCTGTTAATGCTGAGATGCTAATATTACTGAAGAAAAAACATTGCCTTAACTATCTCTTTTTAATCAGTTTAGAAATGCAGCATGTACAGTATTGCTGTATTTCAATGCTCTGTAACGTATACTTGTGGTTCCCAACCTTTTTGTCTCGAGTACCCTAAAGGCATTTTATTTATACTACCTAGTACCTTGATGTTTTTGAAAGATTAGTTATAAAGTGAATAACTAGTCCTTTTCATTTATCACTAATATTTTCAATATTTGATCGGATCGGTGATCGGCCAAAAATATCCTGATCGGTGCACCTCTAATCAATAGTGTTGCATTTTTGTTCAGATGGATCAGGGGCCAAAATCTTTTGTTTCTTACTTTGCTGAACTGTTTAGAAATATATACAGTGTCTCATTATGTATCACATCGAGTCTAGTGTAGCTCTAAAAGACACCCAGTCATGCTAAATAAATAGTAATGAGGCACTTGCGGACTGAAGCACGTGTTGTCTTTTCTAATACTATATTGTTTTGGGTTCGGTGTAGATCCCTCAGAAAGCCGTGGTGGAGAAGCCGGCGCGGGCCCTGGAGCGCCAGGCCCTAGAGATGCAGAGGAAGAACCAGACCTACACTCTGCTGGAGGACAGCGACAGTGACGGCGCCGCAGCTCCAGACGCCAAAACCAAACACAGCAAACGCGACAGAGACTCGGGGAAGGAGCGGGATCGCGGAGGCAAGAGGAGGCACATCCGCCAGAAGAAGGACAGCGAATCTAGCGAGGAGGAGATGCCCCAAAAGTATGGCTCTAAAGGCAAAAACTGCTCTGTCCACAACTTGAGACAATCTGAAGTTTAAAACTCTTAAGTCTGTTTTTGAGGATCGAACCATTATCACTAGAAGGGAGCACACCACACAATTTAAGTGACCAATAACTCTATACTAAAATGAAATAACATCTCTAGTCTTAAGATAAGATAAGATAGACTTTATTAATCTCACACAGGATAAATTTACATGTCACATCTGGCATGGATAGAAACACTCAAGATTGCGCAAAAGAAAGAAATGTGCAAACATGTTAAATGCAGGATATAATATTTACAATAAAAAGTGAGAAACAGTGTCAATAGTAGTGCAGGTTTTTAGTCCTAGTGCAAGTGACTTAAAGTGACTTATTGTACAGTCTGACAGCGGTGGGGATAAAGGCCTGCGGTAGCGCTCCTTCTTGCAATGAGGGTGCCTCAGTCTTCCACTGAAGGAGCTCCTCAGCTCCTCTACAGTCCTGTGCAGTGGGAGGTGTTGTTCATGATGGAGATTACTTTGAATAGCACCCTCCTGTCCCTCACCTCCTCCACAGAGTCCAGGGGCCTCCTGTCCCTTACCTCCTCCACAGAGTCCAGGGGCCTCCTGTCCCTTACCTCCTCCACAGAGTCCAGGGAGCAGCCCAGAGTGGAGCTGGCCCTCCTGACCAGCTTGTTCAGTCTACTCCTGTCCCTCTCTGTGCTGCCTTGGACCCAACACATGGCAGCAAAGTATATGGCAGTACCACAGAGTCATAAAAAGTCCTGAGCAGAGGCTTGCTCACTCCAAAGGACCTCAGCCTCCTCAGAAGGTTCACCGCCTTCTCAGAGTGCAGGAAAGCGGAGTCTCTTAGTCCGAGAAGCTGCGCCCGGGTGTAAACAATGGGACATGTGGGGGGGCTTGTGGCGCTGTGAGCAGGGGGATCCAAAAGTGCCGAAAACATGACTAATCCAGCAAAAACTCCGACAAGAATAGGCTTCCCGTTTGCACTAATGCACAATGTAACACCTACTTAAACAAAACAATTATACAAAAAGCACATCTACAAGAAATAAATAGAGAAAGGGTTGGAAGAGGAGAGAGCCGAACGCTGGCGCGTTGCAACTATAAGTTGCTGTATATTCTCACAGTTCCCATCGACCGGACACAATAAATGGACAGGACATCGAAGTGGTTCACTCCTATAAATATTTGGGAGTCCACCTGGACCACAGACTGGACTGGTCAGCTCAGGCAATGCCATCCACAGGAAAGGTCAGAGCAGACTTTTCTTTCTGAGTAGACTGAGGTCCTTTGATGTGAGCAAGTAAATGTTGCACATTTTTTACCAGTCTTTGGTAGCTAGTGCCGTGTTCTTCGGGGTTGCGTGCAGAGGCGTCCCGTGCCAACAGGCAAGGCAGGCAGCTGCCTGGGGCCCCCAAACCGGCAGGGGGCCCCCGAGGGCCCACTGATTTGACACAAGCAGTCGACTTGTACTGACTACAACAGCTACCTGTAGTGACAAGTTGGCGTCACTTTTCGTCTGATGCAAAGCTTGCCACGTTCTTTATGAACAGTTAAAAACCCTTTCTGGAGCTTACTTCATACTGAATGTAATGGTGGCCTAGTGGTTAAGACATCGCTCTTGCGACGTAGGGACTAGGGGTGGGAACCTAAGGGTACCTCACGATACGATACGATACACGATACAAAGCCCACAATAACGATAATATCACGATAACGATATTACGATAACGATTTTATCACGATATGACGATTATTGATATATTGGTCAGAAATATACAATATGCCAATTTATGGCATAAATAAAAGAAAAAATACTCTTTATTTCATGATAAATAGAATGGAGATGTGTAATGTAGCCATATATTAAGTATTGATACATATTCAAAAAATAAAGAAATAAATATATATATATATATTTTTTTCAAAATCGATATCAATACTTGGCAAATGCATATCGATAATCGAATCGCGGGAGAAAGTATCGCATATCGTCACACCCCTAGTAGTGACCCGGGTTCGAATCCCGGCGTTGGCAGTGTTTTGAAATAAACTATTATTATAAATTATGACAGATTGCTCAAGAACGGTAAAAGGTAAAAACAAGCCGTTTTTTGCAGATTAAAGCTAAGAAGCTAATCTTAAATTTAGACTATATAAACACTGAGGCCCAAATGAAAGATTAGATTTTGTAGGATTAATACACTTTGTAGTTTTTGTAATTAATTATAACATGAGTGTGTGTAGTGAACAAGCTTATAAAAAGACATGCTAAATTATTTCTCATTGCTTTGTGTCACGATAAGTACTGAAGTACTCACAATTATCTATGGTAGACTGTACTCTCTGCCAGGCAGGCCCCAGGCCTATCCATTAATTGTTAAAAATAAGAAATTATCTACATTTCATTTATGTTAATGTAAAAAAGTAAAAGATATTGCATTTTATCTTATTATCAAATATATATTTATATATATTTGATAATAAGTAGGAATATATTTATACCTACTGTAATATAAACCTTTTTATGTGGTTATGTAGTCCGTATCGGGGGCCCCCAAGGACTTTGTTGCCTGGGGCCCCGGGGTACCCTTGGAACGCCACTGGTTGCGTGTTGAGGTGGCAGTCTGACCTCGAGAGACAGTAACCGGCTCGATAGGCTGATCAGGAAATGCGTCTCTGTGATGGGGAGAAGTGTGGACTCTGTGGGAGCTGTGCTGGAGAGGATGAGGGCTCTAATGCAGGGCATCCTGGGTAACTCCAGACACCCTCTGCATGACACTATGGCCGCTCAGAAGAGTAATCGAAGCAACAGCTCCTATAAATACGCTGCCGAACGGAACGTTTCAAGAGATCCTTTGTTCCTTCGGCTGTCAGACTGTACAACAAACCTGACTGACTGTACAACAACAACAACAAAAAGAGTCTTCTGCTGCTTGACACCAGAATTTCTCCTACGGGGGATAAATAAAGTATCTAATTATCTATCTAGTCCAGTTGGATTATAACTCCTGTTTGTCTGTTTTAGGAGTGCCTCAGATCCCAGGAGTATGAAGCAGGAAGAGGAGGAGGAGGAGGAGGAGGAGGAGTGGGAGAAGGAGGAGAGGGAACGGATCCACGACTTGGAGGAGAGGGACGCCTTCGCTGAGAGAGTGCGGCAGAAAGACAAGGACAAGACCAGGAACATCGCCGAGCGCACGGACAAGAAGGTCAGGACTGAGGAGTCTGTGGTGGGAGTCATGTGACATCACTTTTTTTCCACTGTTCTATGGAGGTGGTCTGCCCATCGATCGGGTCTCAAGTCGCCTATGATCATTTTACTGAAGTTTCAGACAAAAAAGACAATCCTAGCTAGTACTGCTTAATTACCACATGTTTAGACTTCTGCCTTCGTTACAGGAGACAGTGATCGTGTGATGTGTCCCTTATCAGCTGTTGTTACTTCATGTGGTCAGTCTGACGGATCTTTGGCTATGTTCTGACCGGATCATGCGTTGTGGCGAGTTTCATACGCCTTGCAAGGCTGAGGCGGTGGGTACAGCGGTTAGATGCATGCAGCAAAAGCAGGAGATCAACATCCTCGCTCACCACATGCGCGGCAACCAATCAGAGAGCAGCAAAGTGGTCAAGGGGACTTGCGCCGGTCAAAAACAGACCTTCGAAAACATCCAAAACAGGAGCTAAACCAGTTTTAAACCAGGACTGCGGATGGCGGACACAGCGCTCGTGAACATATGTCTTCACCTTGAGTTGACATTCTACTGTGACTGTAGCTGCGTTTCCATTGAATAATGCGCAAAAACTTTTTTGATACATTTCAAAATTTGAAAAACCTGTAATTCGCAAAAGCGGCCGTTTCCATTAAGACATATTCGAATAAGTATACACTATGGTCGCGCGTTTATTCACTAGTTTCTAGTACGTCAACATGGCAACAGAAGTAAACAACACTTTGATTTACGTGAGATATATTAATGTCTTGACTTCTGCTGCGGCTCTCATCCTCTCTGACCTCTGACCCCGGGAGAAACTGTGGCTGCTTTGACAGCTCCGCGAACGCGCGTGGTCATGTACCGAGCGCGGACCATAGACGCGCGCACAGAACCATAGACACGGGTCTTGCCTGTCTCCCCCGTCTCTCCCCCATGCCTCTCCACCGTCTCTTCCCCGTCTCTCCCCCGTCTCTCCCCCATGCCTCTCCCCCGTCTCTTCCCCGTCTCTCCCCCGTCTCTTCCCCGTCTCTCCCCCGTCTCTCCCCCGTCTCTCCCCCATGCCTCTCCCCCGTCTCTTCCCCGTCTCTCCCCCGTCTCTTCCCCGTCTCTCCCCCGTCTCTCCCCCATGCCTCTCCCCCGTCTCTTCCCCGGCTCTCCCCCATGCCTCTCCCACGTATCTCCCAAGTCTCCACACGAAGCGCAGCCAAAACTCACTGAATAAAGCAGCTCGGCTTCCTCCGCTATATCAAAATAAGTGTTTCCATTGCCGTTTTGCGAAAAACTTAATTTCGATACGTCCAAAAAACCACCGATTTTAAGCGCATTAACTTTTTATCGAAAAACTGTGGTTTATTCAAAATTTGCGCGTTTCCATTAGACATTTTATGATGCGCAAATTCAAATTTCGAAATTTGATGCTCAATGGAAACGCAGCTTGTGACTGCAAACGTGTTCGTTGATACCTCCTCCGGCTTGCGTTTTTCCCCAACGCAGGGCAGGACGTCAGATTGTCTAAACTCATGCAGCTGGTCTTTCGTGAACGTGCATCAGTGGTCTGAACACAGGTTTATAGCGGTCTGAGCCAAGGTGAAAGTTCCCTCTTCTTTGTTGATGGACCGTGTGCCCTGCTTCCTCAATCGTCTCTCATATCCATCTTTTATATTTATGTTATTCTATTCCCACTATTTTTGCATTGTCCCAGTTCATTGTATGATTTACTTTTTTCTCTAGCTTCTTCACATCTTTGTCTTATTATTAGAACCTTCTTAGACATGAACTTTATACATTTCATTTTGCTGATGTATGCGCTTCCTGTGGCGAACGAACTCGACAGGCGTTTGTTCGTTGGTTAATAATGGAAATAATAAATTAAATCTATTGAATGTATTGTACTGTATCTAAGCTGATAAACAATTAGTGTGTTGAAACCAAATCTTTTTTCGTTTCTGCGCAAATAAAATCTGGTTTGTTTTCTCCTCACTGAGGGGAAAACTCCAAAATACAGATTTCAGAAGATTTGAGTTTCCACTTTATTTAGAACACAACCAACATTGTAGCAGCAAGAAGTTTCTCTCACAAATGTGGTTTTACACTGCGCAAATTATGTGTTTTGTACAATACATTCATTAGATTGAGCTTTCGAGTTTTAATTTGTTTGTTTGACAGAGACATTACACAATAAATGTATTGTTCAGACCGGACAAAGTTTCATGCTAATTTACATCGATAATCCCTGGACAGAGGCAAAGTGACAGCAGGTTAACAGTTTGTAAGGAGTTTATAAACAGAATTGCCGAGGTAGCATTAAAAATACAGGTATCATCTCCACAAAAGTACCACCATGTTACCAGAGGGGGCCAGTACAGACTGAAACGGGGAAGAATTCTCAATCTTGTCCCGCCCCGCTCCCATGAAAACAATTTGTAACACTTTAGTTTTACAGCTAACGAAGTGCTAATTAGTGTATCATTTAGGATTATTTAGCTCTTAATTGGTATTTATGAATTACTTATTAGTCCTGATTCAACACAGGTCTCAGGATGTTCTGACCCACTGTGCAGTCCAACTACTATGTCCACAAGTCTCAAATATGCAAAACACACAGAATCCCTGCAAAATAACCGGCAGAAAACCGCGTGAGTTTTCTTATCTGGTGATACGGATGCGGCGCCCTGTGAAAGATTAGAATTATTTGTTTTTAGCCACAGTTCCGCCGCTGTGTATGTCCAAGACGATGTCCTGGCTTCTTCGATCATAGTGGTTTTAAGCTCCCGCAGACGTCCCTTCACACCGCGTTTGTGAAGCCCCAGAGCCTCTGTGCTGCGGTGGAGGCACATTTATTTACATTTTAGAGCTACCATGTCGGGGACGTATGAAGAGATGCGGCCATTTATCAAACTAAAGGATCATTTCCTTGGATCCAGTTGGAGACCTCGTAGTATCAAAGGACTGCAATATATGATCTCGACACATGATGGGAGTACAAACTACAGAGTGTACCTTTTTAACAATAAAAATGAAGTTCTGCATAACCACATTTAGGTGTTCTATACTTCAGTTCAGCAGCCCTTAAGTTGTATAGGTAGACCGTTCCATAGATCAACTGCTGTGACTGCTAGACACCTCTTAGTATTTCTCTTTGCCATGGGTTTATGTAGCCAATCAGTTCCTCTGAGGTTTGTAAAGGGCTCATGACACCGAACAACCAGATTCTCTATCATTCCAACAGATTTCTGGTGGTAAATGTAGCTTATACATTTTGCTTTTGTCCTTTACAGGCGTACGAGGAGGCTCAGAAGAGGCTCAAGATGGCTGAAGACGACCAGAGAAACATGGTGGGTTTCTCCTCTGCCTCATCGGCAACTACTGGCACAAACTTTTGGCTCCGACCCCTCCATCTCAAAGCTCCTGTCCTGTAAAAGTGTGATGTTATTGTACCAAAGGTGCCAAAATACCAGGAATTTTCAAACATGAAATAAACAGGGAACTTAAATAGAGTTGAGGAAAGTATATTTTAGCATAATCTTGACTAAAACAGATGCCATTCAAACACCCAAATATCCATGTCACAGGCACATACCACAGTATTATTGAGACCACACCCCCACTGGTCCTGTGCATATCTTCATAACATGTACAGAAGATTTCTAAAAGACTGGAGACACTTTTGAGCCCAAAGCACAAGACTGTTTTTGGTCCACAGGCTCCAATAATGTGAAATAAGTTTTGATGATATTATGGGGAACTTGTTCTAAATCTGTTGAAAAAATCTAGCATTTTCTTTTCACGTCGGTTCATATTTATGCTTGGATATGATAACATTTAATTACATCACAATGAATTCTTAGTTATGGATTATTTTCTAATTTTACCACCTTAAACTGCCCATGAAAATTCAACGCCCCTTACAACCCTAATTGCACCATTATGACATCACGCTTAAGAATTACCAATAAATTAGTTTTGGCAATTTCTCTGGGCTGTTTTGCAACTGGTCATGTTCAAATTTGGGGAAAAAAATGTCCTCCACCTGGTGGCAGTATAGGGAGTTACAGGCAATAGCATTTATCTCTTTGATACTTGTTACACCATATATTTTCTACTAACAATATTTTTCCATATTATAACACATAATATTTCAGTAAAAAGTCTGAATATGATTTTGTGTGATATTTCTTCCTCACCACCTCGTCCAAAAACATACTGTGTTTTCCCAGGTTCCGAAGCTGAGAGAGGAGTCCCGTCGGGAGTACTTGAAGAAGCGCGAGGAGGAGAAACTGGAGGACCTGGAGGCGGAGATCAAAGATGAGGAGTACCTGTTCTCTGACAACATGACCAAACGGGAGCGGGAGGAGCTGGACTACAAGCGCACCGTGAGGGACCTGGCCAAAGAGTACAAGAAGGCCGGAGCCAAGGAGCTGGAGGAGAGGAAGAACCGCTACTACATGCCTGAAGAAAAGAGGAGCAAGGTGACGTGAAGCTGCAGTTTCTCTTCACCCAAATGACTGTATTTTACCCATTTTTTTTAAATTAGAAAAGTACATGATAGTTTCATCGATGGTCGATCTCTTCAAAAATCACAAGATCGCTGACTTGCAAATGTGCCAATCTGAAGATCTGTTTTTTTGTAAACAAAGTGCGTTTATCTGAGAAAGATACATCTACCCAAGTGAGATACGGAATCAAGCCAATACATGGAGTTTATTTATTAGTTCTTACACAAAGCAACTCAAAGTGCTTAACAAAACAATCACACAAGGAATTAAAATAACATAAATAATCACAGTACATTAAAAAGAGTGAAGATACAATCCTTCATTGGTATGCACAGATAAACAAAACTGTTTTTAACCTGGATTTGAACTTTCCAGATTTTAGCTGCATGAATCTGAAATGCTGCCTCCTCATGTTTAGTCCTGATTCTGGGACCAGCAGGAGGCCATAAGCAGCTCTATGTACTGATGTTATACCCGTTGTGTCTCCTCCATCAGGACGTTCCTCAGCGAGACCTGGAGCTGGAGGACACGCCCCTGGAGCTGGGCGGGGAGCAGGGCCGCTGGGAGGAGGAGCGACTGCGCACCGCCGCTCTCTCCTTTGGGGCCAAGAGGGAGCGAGAGCTGGGGATGCAGCAGGAGCAGGACCGCTACCAACTGATTCTGGAGGAGGAGGAGATGATCGACTTCGTGAGCACCGCCATCACCATGAAGGGAACACTCTCCGAGATGGTAAAGAGAGGTTTCAGTAGTACACTATAAGACAAAAACAAGTTTGCTGATGGCTTAGGCCATGCTACGTCTGCCCCTGTTACAGCGTGAAGCTGTAGAACAAATGCTCCTAATAAAGAGATGATTCCAGGTTAAATTAAGATCGGCTTCTTCTGCATTAGGGCTAACACTATGGTGACGTCAGCACTCGACCCGCATAGACCACTAATATACGGTCTATGTCTGAAGTTTCTTCTGTTCCAACTCTTCTCACACACACACAAACACACATGCACAAATACAGGCTCAAACACTCTCTGGCCCTACACCTCTTGGGAGCCGTTTAAACAGTGGTTTTTAACTTGTGTGTGTCTGTCTCTGCCTCTCTCTCTGGGTTTCACTCTCTGTCTGTGTGTGTGTGTGTCTCTCACTCTCTCACTCTCTCACTCTCTCACTCACTCTGTCTCTCTGTCTCTCTCTGTCTCTCTCTCAGGAGCAGCAGGAGGAGCCGGCTCTGTCCCAGTCGGAGCTGAAGAAGCAGTCCATTCAGGAGGTCCGTCGCAGTCTGCCCATCTTCCCCTACAGAGAGGACCTGCTCAGGGCCATCACAGAGCACCAGATCCTGGTGATCGAGGGAGAGACCGGCTCCGGGAAGACCACCCAGATCCCCCAGTACCTGATCGAGGACGTGAGTCTAGCATCCTAGTTCATGTATTAGTCAAACAATATTTGTATTGAAATGATGAGTACTTACTGGGGCTGTCAAGACGATTACAAATATTTATTGAGTTAATTAAAGCTTAAACATTAATTAATTGTAATCAATCTCATTTAGAAATATCGGACAAATTATGTAATATTTTTCTGTAAATGGATGTTTGAATGGAAAGATAAATGACAACCTATTGTACATACAGTACAGACCAAAAGTTTGGACACCCTTTCTCATTCAATGAGTTTCCTTTCTTTTCATGACTATTGACTGTAGATTCACACCAGGCTTTGTAAGGGCTGTTTGACCAATAAGGAGAGTGATGGGTGTTGGGCTAGATGACCTGGCCTCTACAGTCACCGGACCTGAACCCAATTGAGATGGTTTTGGGGTGAGCTGGACCACAGAGCGAAGGCGAAAGGGTCAACAAGTGCTAAGCATCTCTGGGAACTCCTTCAAGCCCTCTTGAAGCTCATCAAGAGAATGGCAAGAGTGTGCATCAGAGCAAAAGGTGCTACTTTGAAGAACCTAGAATATAACTGGGTGATAATGATATAACCTAGAATGACATATTTTCAGTTGTTTCATACTTTCTTTTTAGTATGTACATAATTCCACATGAGCTAATTCATAGTGACATTAACGTTATTGAAATCTAGAGGATCAGATAATACTTTTTCTTTTGCCTCGCCCCCTTGTAAGTCGACCGAACACGTCTCTAGGCCCGTTCAAAGTAAACGTTGCCGCATTTTTTGTATAGAGATTTTTCTCTATACAAAATATATATCTCTATATCTTTCTTCTTTATACTAAAATAAAAGCTCTAACATTAGCAAAAAAGAGTTATTGTTCACTTATCTTGTGCTGCATGCTCTTCATTCCTAGTTTCTCGCTCTCTCTCTCTCCCTCTCTCAGGTTTCTCTTTCTGGTATCTCTCTGGTCTCCCTCTCTCTGGTATCTCTCTGGTATCCCTTTCTCAGATTTCTCTGTCCCTCTCTCTGGTATCTCTCTGGTATCCCTCTCTCTGATATCCCTCTCTCTGGTCTCCCTCTCGCTGGTATCTCTCTGGTATCCCTCTCTCAGATTTCTCTGTCTCTCTCTCTGGTACCTCTCTGGTATCCCTCTCTCTGGTCTCCCTCTCGCTGGTCTGTCTCTGTTCAAACCTGCTTTTGAGCATTGTGAGAGGACTGGTTAAAACACCTGTGAGTAAATCCTGTCTTCTGTGTTCAGGGTTACACCAGCGGAGGGATGAAGATCGGCTGCACTCAGCCTCGTCGAGTGGCGGCCATGTCTGTGGCCGCTCGAGTCGCAGAGGAAACCGGCGTCAAACTAGGAAACGAGGTCTGGACTCTGGTTTATTCTGTTATTATGTCAAAAAATGGTGGAATTGGTTATTTTCAGTATTGCAATATTTTGTGCACGCAATTAAATAGATACAGTAGAGCAAAGTATCGCTTCTATTTAAATGATTAATGATCTGTTTTAACTTTTGGGTTTTCTCTGGTCATTTCCATCTGAGGTTTATGTTCCTCTGTGATCTCTTCCTGTTGTGACTCTATGATGTCTGCCTGTTGTGACTTAGGAGTCTGCTTATTGTGACTCTATGATGTCTGCTTGTTGTGACTCTGTGATGTCTGCTTGTTGTGACTCTGTGATGTCTGCTTATTGTGACTCTATGATGTCTGCTTGTTGTGACTCTATGATGTCTGCTTGTTGTGACTCTAGTCTGTTGTATGTGAATAATGTAAGTGATGCTGGGAGTTCTACGTTCATGTGAGAGTCTTCGGTTCAGAGAATAATAATGTCTTGTCCATAATAATGTCCTGTATCCTGAATGTTCAAGTATAGCGTTTTTGCACCACCCTCCTAAGTGTTTGCTTTAGTTAAGACGGCTCAACTTAAATGCCACAATTATTATGGTCTGCACATAATTCTCCTCAATTTTTGTAAGGCCTTTGAATGATATGAAGGATATGAATCACAAAATTTTGCAGAATTGAATAACAACACTTGCTGCATCACAATATGTTAAGTAATAATAATAATTAAAGCCGCAAGCGGCGTCGAACGGCACTCGCCGCACCGCGCAACTCCCCGCACCGCGCGCACCGCGCGCACCCCCCGCACCGCGCGCACCACTCCGTGCCAAGCCACCCCGCACCATGGCGTCCCGCATCACGCCGCCCCGCACCAAGCCGCCCCGCACCAAGCCGCAACGCGCCGCACCACACCGTACCACGCAGCACCGCTCAAAGGAGGTGGCGCCGCCGTGTGATGATTTGTTCCCGTAGCCATAGAAGATTGTTAGTCAAATTGTAATGACTATGATAAGTAGAGCTGGTTTGGCTCCCCATGTAAACTTTTCCTCAGTCTGTAGGGGGCGCTAATGGGCCAATTTCAAATATTTCACCTTCACCTGACCTAAACCCTGGAGTTGAACAATGGATTCAAGTTTAATGCAAATCAGACTTTGTTTGTGCAAACGGGAAAAAAATGAATGTTGTCAAAAACGGCCAAAAAAACATTTTGCCGCTCCGCTGCTCAAACAACGTTTCACTGATCAAAATTCCCTGAAGTCATTTTGATGGTAAATGTGTTGAGATGATTTGGAACAATTTTGAGGCCAATCGGTGAAACGCCCGAGGAGGAGTCGCTTTCCAACCGACGTGTATGAAAATGATTGGTTTTCATTTTTCCATTTTGCAATGACATTTATGGGCTTCCTGTTTGTCAGAGGGCTTAGCCATAATAAAATGTTGTCCATGTCTTGACTTGAGGAACATGTGTTCCAAATTACATGGTTCTACGACAATTTTGACCTCGAACCCCTCCCATAGGCATTTTTAAAATGGCTGTTGTAGGTGGCGCTATAGAGCCAATTTCAAAATTTTAACTTTCAAATTACCTAAATCCAAGAGTTGAACCATGGATTCAAGTTTTGTGCAAATCAGAATTTGTTTGTGCAAACGGAAGCAATTTTTCTATTGTCAAAAACTGAAAAAAAGTACGGCACTTTTTGCCGCTCCGCTGCTCAAGCAAAGTTTCACTGATCAAAATTCCCTGAAGTCATTTTGATGGTACATGTGTTGAGATGATGTGGAGCGATTTTGAGGCAAATAGGTGAAACGGCCGAGGCTGGTTTGATGTTTGTGTGAGGTGTACATTTGCAATGAATGGGGAGCGTTTGTCGTCGCCACGGCAACAGGGTAAAAAATAAGCCTTGGAACCTATTGACTTTTTGAATCAAGAGGGCAAAACAGATTTATGTGCAAAATTTCAAACATTTTTAAAAAACTAAATTTGAAAATGCCCATCTAAAACTTTGAAATAGTCTGTAGGGGGCGCTAATGTGTCAATTTGAATCAATTCACTTTCAAATGACCTAGACCCTAGAGTTGAACAATGTATTAAAGTTTTGTGCAAATCAGACTTTGTTTGTGCAAACGGGAGCAAATTTAATGTTGTCAAAAACGGCCAAAAAAAGGTTACATTTTGATGCGTCCGTCACGCACCGCCACCATTTGTAAAAAAGGATTTTTTTTTTCGACGTCTTGAGCCAAAACAATATAGGTTTCAATGGCACGTGATACATAATTTTAAAGCGTTTGAGTTTACGCACGCAACTGTCACGTTTTGGTGCGTGACGGACCGCCACCATTTGTTTTCACCATTGTGAAAGCAATAGGCCCTTACCCCGTTCGGGGCTCGGGCCTGATAATAATATTGAATTGTGGCCCAAATATCGCAATACTATCGGTTCGTTACGTTTGCCAATTTCCTCTCCTAATCTCAAATATAATCCTTACTGTGAGAAATGCCAGAGCACAGAACAGAATTTGCCCTCTTCTGTTGTTCCTCTCTGCAGTCACTTCCCGTTTTCTCTGATCCCAGTCTTTATCCGTCAGATCAAACTGATGAAATGGAAAGCTCGGGACGGAGATGCCGAGGGTTTAAAAATTAACATTGTAAATTTGTGTAGTTCTAGTCGGTCAGGCTGAGAATCTGTAAAAGGAATTTAAAAGTGAGTGATAGGAAAGTGTTTTGTGATATGATCCCTGACCCTCTCCTCTCTCTGTCTTCTCTGTGTCTCAGGTGGGCTACAGCATCCGCTTTGAGGACTGTACGTCTGAGAGGACCGTGCTCAAATACATGACTGATGGAATGTTACTGCGAGAGTTTCTCACTGAACCAGACTTGGCCAGCTACAGGTACTTCCCAGATCATATTTTGCGTGTCAGTTCGTCCCAGGGCAGTTGTGACTTCACCTGCAACTAAACATAGCCTCATCATAAAGAGTGTAAACTAGATCCGTTTGAGACAATTTTTGATCATATTTTTATGCTTTGAAAACTCTGTTAGTCCGGGGTGATAAAAGCAGAACAGTGTGTTTGATCTGTCCCCTTGGTCCTTTCTGTCTCCTCTCGGTCTCCTCTCGGTCTCCTCTCTGTCTCCTCTCTGTCCTCTCTCTGTCCTCTCTCTGTCCTCTCTCTGTCCTCTCTCTGTCCTCTCTCTGTCCTCTCTCTGTCCTCTCTCTGTCTCCTCTCTGTCTCCTCTCTGTCTCCTCTCTGTCTCCTCTCTGTCTCCTTTCTGTCTCCTCTCTGTCTCCTCTCTGTCTCCTCTCTGTCTCCTCTCTGTCTCCTCTCTGTCTCCTCTCTGTCCTCTCTCTGTCTCCTCTCTGTCTCCTCTCTGTCTCCTCTCCTCTCTGTCTCCTCTCTGTCTCCTCTCTGTCTCCTCTCTGTCTCCTCTCTGTCCTCTCTCTGTCCTCTCTCTGTCTCCTCTCTGTCTCCTCTCTGTCTCCTCTCTGTCTCCTCTCTGTCTCCTCTCTGTCTCCTCTCTGTCCTCTCTCTGTCTCCTTTCTGTCTCCTTTCTGTCTCCTCTCTGTCCTCTCTCTGTCCTCTCTCGGTCTCCTCTCTGTCTCCTCTCTGTCTCCTCTCTGTCTCCTTTCTGTCTCCTCTCTGTCTCCTCTCTGTCTCCTCTCTGTCTCCTCTCTGTCCTCTCTCTGTCTCCTCTCTGTCTCCTCTCTGTCTCCTTTCTGTCTCCTTTCTGTCTCCTCTCTGTCCTCTCTCGGTCTCCTCTCTGTCTCCTCTCTGTCTCCTCTCTGTCTCCTTTCTGTCTCCTCTCTGTCTCCTCTCTGTCTCCTCTCTGTCTCCTCTCTGTCTTCTCTGTCCTCTCTGTCCTCTGCTACAGTGTGGTGATCATTGACGAGGCCCACGAGCGCACCCTCCACACAGACATCCTGTTTGGTCTGATCAAAGACATCGCCCGGTTCAGGTCTGACCTCAAAGTGCTGGTGGCCAGTGCCACGCTGGACACAGAGAGGTTCTCCTGCTTCTTTGACGACGCCCCAGTCTTCAGGATCCCAGGACGCAGGTTTCCTGTGGACATCTTCTACACTAAGGTCTGGAACATACACTGCTCAGTTTTTCTATATTTTTATTCCTAGATTAGTGGTTCTTGACCTTGTTGGGGCGGAGCTTGTTCGAACCCCACCAGTTTCATATGCGCATACACAGAACCTCTCTTCAGTGAAAATTAAAATGTTTTTTTTTTTCAAATCAATTTCAAGCGATGGGCATATGAAGCCCCGTATCACACTGAAGCTTTCATTCCCACATTGTTTTATGTGTTGCAGCCTCTGAACTAGCTCAGATTAGCTTGTAACACTGAAATCTAGTGGACAAATATAATCATTGCAGCTTCTGAAGAGCAGAACTTGATTCACGCTCCAAATGTAGTTTCAAATTCATACCGTTTCTTCTTCTCACTTAACTATAATAAGAGAGAATCCTACTGCAGCAGGTCATGGGTATATTTTTGTTGTTGTTGATTTATTTTCAAGAAATCCTTTAATTCAATACAATTTTATTCACATCTCAAAACAAATTACAGAGACAAAAGAACGGCACTTTATGCAGATCACAGGTTTTAATCAAAGTTTTTCAACAGTTTTCAGTTTCAATCGGCTTCTTGTTTAGCTCCAGCTTTAGAAAAAAAAACCTTGTTTGGTTAAATCAAAATGATCCCAAACCATGGATCTCTGTTTTCCACTTGTAGATGCCTCAAAGTCACCAACACTAAACAACACTCTCCTCGCTAGTCAACATGTTTAGAAATATTGATGCATCATTTATACTGTAGCTAGCTAAAACAAAGGAGGCGCGTTGAAAGACTCTGTACTAGTGAGAAGCCAGGAAACCCTTTGAGCCAATGAAACGCTTCAAACCACCACAGTTGATACAAAGCAAAGCAGTGGCTGCAGAGACACTGACACGTTTGCCACGTGAGCGGCTGTTTTGATACAAATAAAAGCATCTCTCCCGGGAAGAGCTCCGGAGCGTTAAGATTGTTTTCTCATCACTAGAGAATATGTCTGTACTGGACCACTGCCAAACCCTGAGACAGACTCACCAAACCCAGGTTAAGAACCACTGTCCTGGATTCAGATTCGATTTATTTGCCATTTGCAGTGAAACCACATTGGAATACATGTGCATAGGTCCCCAGTGTGCACCAGACAAGTACATGCTTAAAACAAGCTAAAAAGTACACAAAATAATTGTCGCTGTGAAATTGATAAACATCAGCTTCAAGACCAGTACAAGATCATATAAGTTCTTTGTTCAGACGGATAACAGCATCTCAGCCCACAATTTCTATCTCTCCCTGCTCTCTCTCTGCTCTCTCTTTGCTCTCTCTCCCTGCACTCTCCCTGCTCTCTCTCTGCTCTCTCTCTGCTCTCTCTTTGCTCTCTCTCCCTGCTGTCTCCCTGCTCTCTCCCTGCACTCTCTCTGCTCTCTCTCTGCTCTCTCTCCCTGCTCTCTCTTTGCTCTCTCTCCCTGCTCTCTCCCTGCTCTCTCCCTGCACTCTCTCTGCTCTCTCTCTGCTCTCTTTGCTCTCTCTCCCTGCACTCTCTCTGCTCTCTCCCTGCACTCTCTCTGCTCTCTCTCTGCTCTCGTTGCTCTCCCTCCCTGCACTCTCCCTGCTCTCTCCCTGCACTTTCCCTGCACTCTCTCTGCTCTCTCTCTGCTCTCTTTGCTCTCTCTCCCTGCTCTCTCTCCCTGCACTCTCCCTGCTCTCTCCCTGCACTCTCTCTGCTCTCTCTCCCTGCTCTCTCTCCCTGCACTCTCCCTGCTCTCTCCCTGCTCTCTCTCTGCTCTCTCTTTGCTCTCTCTCCCTGCTCTCTCCCTGCACTTTCCCTGCACTCTCTCTGCTCTCTCTCTGCTCTCTCTCCCTGCACTCTCCCTGCTCTCTCCCTGCTCTCTCTCTGCTCTCTCTTTGCTCTCTCTCCCTGCTCTCTCCCTGCACTCTCCCTGCACTCTCTCCCTGCACTCTCCCTGCTCTCTCCCTGCTTTCTCCCTGCACTCTCTCTGCTCTCTCTCCCTGCACTCTCCCTGCTCTCTCCCTGCTTTCTCCCTGCACTCTCTCTGCTCTCTCTCCCTGCACTCTCCCTGCTCTCTCCCTGCTCTCTCCCTGCTCTCTCTCTGCTCTCTCTTTGCTCTCTCTCTGCTCTCTCTTTGCTCTCTCTCCCGGCTCTCTCCCTGCACTCTCTCTGCTCTCTCCCTGCTCTCTCCCTGCACTCTCTCTGCTCTCTCTCCCTGCACTCTCCCTGCTCTCTCCCTGCTCTCTCCCTGCTCTCTCCCTGCTCTCTCTCTGCTCTCTCTTTGCTCTCTCTCTGCTCTCTCTTTGCTCTCTCTCCCGGCTCTCTCCCTGCACTCTCCCTGCTCTCTCCCTGCTCTCTCCCTGCTCTCTCTCTGCTCTCTCTTTGCTCTCTCTCTGCTCTCTCTTTGCTCTCTCTCCCGGCTCTCTCCCTGCACTCTCTCTGCTCTCTCCCTGCTCTCTCCCTGCACTCTCTCTGCTCTCTCTCCCTGCACTCTCCCTGCACTCTCCCTGCTCTCTCCCTGCTCTCTCCCTGCTCTCTCCCTGCTCTCTCCCTGCACTCTCCCTGCACTCTCCCTGCTCTCTCCCTGCTCTCTCCCTGCTCTCTCCCTGCTCTCTCCCTGCTCTCTCCCTGCTCTCTCTCTCTGCTCTCTCGCTGCTCTCACAGCTCACAGTTCTCTTTCAGAGCAGGGTTGAACGCTCTCCATTCTTGCACCTGGGCTCTAAGTCATAGTTGAACTTGACTTTTGATTTACTTCCGGTCAGGAAACGAGATTTAGAATTGGATTTAGAGTGGATTTGAAATGGATACCAGTTGTACGCGGTGTGATTGAAGCTGTTTTGGATATTTCAGGCTCCGGAGGCAGATTACCTCGAGGCCTGTGTGGTCTCTGTGCTTCAAATCCACGTCACACAGTCTCCAGGGGACGTGCTGGTCTTCCTCACTGGACAGGTCACTATTACACAGACACAAACACACACACACGTACAGCAAGAGAGCACATCACCCCTGGGCTGGCCCCTCTTCACTGGCTCCCTGTCACATTTAGGATTGATTTTAAGATTTTGATGCTTGTCTTTAAATGTTGAATTGCTTTAAAAGTCTGGTATATCTGACAGCTGTTCTCTCTCTGGTCTGTCTCTGGTCTCTCTCTCTTGTTTTTCTGTGGTCTCTCTCTCTTGTTTTTCTGTGGTCTCTCTCTGGTCTCTCTCTTTAATCTCTCTCTGGTCTCTCTTTTGTCTTTCTGTTGTCTCTCTGGTCTCCCGTCTCTTTCTGGTCTCTCCTTCTGGTCTCTTTTGTTTCTCTGGTCTCTCTCTTGTCTTTCTGTCGTCTCTCTCTGGTCTCTCTCTTGTCTTTCTGTCGTCTCTGGTCTCCCTCGCTGGTCTCCCTGGTCTCTCTCTGGTCTCTTGTCTTTCTGTTGTCTCTCTCTGGTCTCTGGTCTCCTTCTGGTCTCTCTTTTGTTTCTCTGGTTGGTCTCTGGTCTCTCTTTTGTCTTTCTGTTGTCTCTCTGGTCTCCTTCTGGTCTCTCTTTTGTTTCTCTGGTCTCTCTCAGGTCTCTTTCTGGTCTCTCTCTGGTCTCTGCATCTTATTCTGTTTTCTTTTGCACATATGAAGCACTTTGGGCAGCTGGCGTTGTTGTAAATGTCCTATACAAATAAACCTTACATTAACATACAGACACGCACATATCTGATTGGATGTTGGTTTCCATGACGCTCTCTCCCGGGACTCTCTCAGGAGGAGATTGAAGCGTGCTGTGAGCTGCTGCAGGAGCGATGTCGTCGTCTTGGATCCAAAATCGCAGAGCTGGTGATCCTCCCCATCTACGCCAACCTGCCCTCCGACATGCAGGCCAAGATCTTCTCCCCCACTCCCCCAGGGGCCCGGAAGGTACAGTGCTGTCTACACTGCAAAAAATACATAAAATATGAAGTTATAGAGTAACTAAGTATGTAAGTAATCTTTATTTATATAGCGCATAGAGATTTTTATCTTAACCTGAGTACATTCTGACTTTGGGACATATCCATTTAGTCTCATTTCAAGAACTGTTGCTTCATTTTCTCATTTTATTCCTTGAATATTTTTTAAACAAGATCATTTTGCTTTGTCAGATCTTGTTTTAAGGCAGTTGGAACGTGCTCGAATTAAGATACATTTTGCCAAATTTGAGCCATTTTTGTCTTATTTTTCATCTCTTATTGCAGTATAGCGATTCGTGAGATCTGTAAATTAGGTTGTGTTCATGTTGTAGAGTTATTGTTCCAAGCATTGAATTGTGAATATGGTTGTGAATATACTGGTGTGTGATGTTTGTGTGTGATACTTGTGTACTGCAGGTGGTTGTGGCCACAAACATCGCAGAAACCTCGCTGACCATCGATGGCATCATTTATGTGATCGACCCGGGCTTTTGCAAACAGAAGAGCTACAACGCACGCACAGGCATGGAGTCTCTCATCGTCACGCCATGTTCACGGGTATTAGAGATGGACACACACACACGCACACACATAGAACCACACACGCAAATAGGAGGACCATTCAGAATGTCCTGATTGGTCGGTTGTTAGGGCTTATGTGTGTCACACTCACCATATTAAATAAACAAAGATAAGTCAATCGATAGAAGCCAGAGCGAGTTTGAACTAAACTTCACCATGTGCACTTTTGGGCTAACCCACCGAGAGCATTGTCCTTCTATATCATGGATCTATAATAATGACAGCTTATAGCTGTCCCACCCATGGGCGCCTGTGGTACTGCAGACTAAATTCACACGGGCCACCCAGAAAAAGAGTCCGACAGAACTCAATGTAGATTAAAACAGCTCGACCTCAGCTGACAGAGAACCTAAGGCTTTCATAAAGATAGTATTTTGTGGGGATTTCTTGTAATCCTTAACTTTTCTTTTTCTTAAATCCTTCGGTTTTCTTTAAATCCACACTTTACTGCCACAAACTCTACTCGTTTTCTTCCCGCTCCGCTCTACCGCTGCTCTGATCAGCAGCTCTTATTGGTCAAAGCTCGGCCGAGCCCCTCTGTGCGAGAGCCACACACGTATTTGGGGCAAAGCATTATGGGAGCTCGTTCACAGCGCAGAGCCGGGAGGACCAGACGATGCCCAAATATGGGCGAGTTCTTCTAATCTTTCCGAGCCCATGCATGTCCCATGCGCTACTGAGCACAAGCCATTCATTTGACTAGGACGTCATCTTGGATCACCGGGGCTTGTTCTATATACAGTCTACTACTACTACCACTACTACTACTACCACTACTATGGTTAACGCACACACACTGGACAAAACACCACCAAAATCTCAAAATACTGATTTATTGACGGTTTGCTTTATGCTCTCCCCTGATTATCCTTCTTGAATAATATCTAAACTAAATATGATATTGTGGTGCTTGTATGTGAAAGCCTGATGTCTCTGAGTGGAAGAGGAGCCCAGGTCTGTGCTCAGTGGGACTGACCTTCTGTTCCTCCTCAGGCCTCTGCGAACCAGCGTGCGGGTCGAGCAGGACGCGTGGCTGCGGGGAAGTGCTTCAGACTCTACACAGCCTGGGCCTTCAAACACGAGATGGAGGAAACCACGGTCCCAGAGATCCAGAGGACCAACCTGGGGAATGTGGTCCTGCTGCTGAAGAGCTTAGGTCAGTCACATCATGGTCTGTTCCACAGGCATCACAAACACTGCAGTCTGTACCGGGAGGGGTTAACTGGTGAGAGAGTAAGAGCAGGAATTAACATATTGTGGATAATTGGATATATAGATGATGATGATCATTTTATATTTTTGGACAGTGTGTGAACTGTATTTTACAAATAAACATGTCTTGTCTTATATGATAAATATAATATATATAAATCTGTGTTTGATTAGATCTTTTGTTTTGCCTTGAAAGAAAGAATAATACAGTGTTTGTCTTTGGATGACAAAATACACCATAGTTTACACTGCATTAAGAAATGGAAGAACATTGGGCCTCATTCACGAACCGTACTTAAGAACAAATTTGTGCGTAAATCCTACTTACGAAGATTGTGGTATTCATGAAATTTTCTTGTAACCAGAATTTCTCTTGGGTAAGTACAAATCCTACGAATGCTCAGAAGCACTCGTACGCACATTCAGTGCTGACATGTTCGCTCTCTGGTGTTACGAAGTTCAATAAAACACAACATTACGGTGTCATATTGATATATGTATTTATTTATTTAATTGTTAATGGTAATTTAGCCTATTTTTTTATTCATTTTGAAATGAAATGTGCCAACGCTTTATCAAATACATTGGAAATCTTGCAGTGTATTAGTGACCCCATCCTATTTATTGGGGGCATTTCTTTATCCACGGGCCACAGAACAATGGCATATATACTGCTGCTGCTGGAGGTTGCGGGGTCCGTGCTGAGTCTCTGCCCTGGTCTCTCCCATGGATCTATACGGGTCTGCACTGGTCTCTCCCATGGATCTATACGGGTCTGCACTGGTCTCTCCCATGGATCTAGACGGGTCTGCACTGGTCTCTCCCATGGATCTAGACGGGTCTGCACTGGTCTCTCCCATGGATCTAGACGGGTCTGCACTGGTCTCTCCCATGGATCTATACGGGTCCGTGCTGCACGCTCCTGGATCCATACCGGTCCGCCTGTTGCTCTTTCCTCTGGCGTCTGCACACGGCCCTGCCTTCCCTTTTATGGGCATTAAAGGGCGGTTACCTATGCTAAGTACCTATGCTAATGAAGCACCAGGCACGCGCGCTCTACTTACGAGGAGTTGGCATTCATCAATCTGAGAGAACAGCTGCGAACAATTCAGCGCCTTACGAGCGCGTTGATGAATCCCACGTAGGGTCTTCTTCGAAATCTACTTAAGAACGACTTGAGAAGAAATTTAAGAAGTTTCTTACAAAGTTATTCATGAATGAGGCCCATTGTCCATAAATGACATTGCAGTAAATAGCTTTGCATAAAATAGAAATATCCTTTATTGTCATTCTTTTTCAACCATTTCTTCATAGAGTAGAACTTCAGGAACCGTGCATTTAATATTTCACATCAGAAGCAACAATAATCCAGAGAAATCCACATTTAGAGACTGCAAGAACACGATTGTGCAAATAATAACTCTTACATGTGTGCGTTCCCGACCCGTGCGCACAGATCCATGTTTCGGCAAAATCACTAAAACATGACTCAGTCATGAACTCCGAGAATAGTTTTTATTTCTCAAAACTTGAACGATCAGCTGCACATGAGCAGAGATCATATAGGTCCATGTCAGAGACAGAGCTGCTGCGGACAGCGAGAGGGAGCGGTCTGTGGAACAGCAAACAAGAGACTTTTTAATGTTAATAAAAGTATTAAAACTTTGTTTGAAGGCAAACTATTACTAAGTGAATAGGTTTCTATAACTAGGAGGAAGGTTCTGAGCGAAAAGAGTGAAAGAGATGGAATTTTGACTTTTGAATGAAAAAATATTGTTTTCTTCAAACTTGATGAGAGGCTGGTCCTGGTTTATACAGTCTATGAAAACATTAACTAAAACTCTGTCAAAGACATTCCATTTGACCAAACAACAGTTAAATGCAGAAGTGTTTCTTTGCAGGTATCAACGACCTGATTCACTTTGACTTCATGGATCCTCCTCCACACGAGACTCTGGTTCTGGCTCTGGAACAGCTGTACGCACTGGGAGCGCTCAACCACCTGGGGGAGCTCACCAAGGTGAGAGAGGAGAGAGACGACACAGAGGACATGTACAACACTACAATACAGATTGTTATAATATTGAATAGGGATGCACCGATCCGATACTGGTATCGATATCGGCGCCGATACCAGAAAAAATACTGGATCAGATATCTGCGTAGAGAGAGGCGCCGTGCTGCCAATTTTTTTTTATTATATATATTTTTTAATACATACCAGGTACCGCACAATGTCTTAAAATACATTGTGCATAAGTTACATATACGTATAAAATGAATTAATTAAAAGTAATTTATCAGATCTCACGTACACGTCACTTCCTCGTGGCGCTCTGCAACAACAACAACACAGCATGGAGCGGAGGAAGGAATCAGCGTTGTTCATGCGGCTTGTTTTACACGACCTTCGAGTCAGACGACCTCATGCGGCGGTAAACCAGCGAAATACAACACGACTAAGCACCACGAGAAACAGCATGGGGAGTTTTTGCAGCGAGAGGAGATTACGTGAAAACAACGAGACACAGATGACACTGACGCAGCGTCACAAAAAGCTTTTCAGCAACAACCCGAAAGTGTTGGCGTTCATCAGTTTGGGCTCGCAGCCCCATAGACCATTTGGAACCCGGGTACATGCCGTCGCCAAATACATATCTGAAATCCAGTTAAAGCTACGGTACTATTATTTATTTACATTTTCATGCAGCGTGTTTTGTTTGTTGAAAGTGTTTTTTTTATTCAAACACATTTGATATAAGTGCATTTATATTCAATAAATGTATAAGGTACAATACAGTGTTGGAATGTTTAATGTGAACATTGAGCAGCTCTTTATAGTTGCATTATTGCACATTTACGTTGTTATAGAAATATATACCCCATGAAGGAGGAAACTCAAAGGTCCTTTGTCTGATCAAAAGCGTAAGTTTATTGTTAACGCACAGTGCGGAGGGCCAGCACATCCACTCAAAAGCAGCATGTCCCAGCTCTGGGGGCCAGAGCCCCCAGCTTCCTGTATACAAAACACACACCAAAGATAGTCACGCCCACAACGGAGCGGAGGGGGCCACCGGTGAGGAGGCGCACAGGAAGCGCCGGCGCCATCCCCTGTGGTGGCAGTGGCATGGGGTGTGAACAGACAGACAATGGTGGAAGTGCAGGTCATACAGATGCAAGACGGAAAGACACAAGGGTGTGACAGACAGCAGGGACCTTCACAAAGCTCAGCATGGCGTCAGAAGGTTGTCTGCATTGATAAAAGGCCTTTGACGTCCGTGTATTTGCTGCGGCTGGTTTTAATGTAATTACTCCAAAAACTGTCACCACACTCCCCTCTTCTGATAATTCAAAACCATTTTTGCATTAATCAGTTAAATACCAGAGGCATCGTAATCACACCACCTTCAAGCTTGAAACACTTAAATTATTGCTGTCCAAAGTGGACAGGAAAAGACACATGCTTGTCAATAAAAGAAAGAGCACATTATAATAACACAATGGATCCGGACAGCGATAAGAGAAGGCAATATTAACATAATAAACACGGTCAGCACGGTAAGTAGTGTCAGTGTGGCCAGCATAACAGTCCAAGGGCCCATGCCGGTCTACGTTCGGTAGTCTTTTCCGCGGGAATACTCACGAGCAGTGCCGTCTCGCAGTCAGTGGCACCGCTCCCTATGAGCGTGTGTGGAGCGTTAGTGGTCATGGCGATGTTTGGTCTTGGAGCGGCAAGACTCTAATTGCGTTGAAGCCTTGGCCTCAGCACTCGGTTGGGCAGAGTGCTCGGGGTTTGGGGTGTGGAGACCATGGCTTGAGCACGCTCCAGATCGGCCAGGCCCAAAGCTCATTTGATGGGAGACCGCATGACAGCACGCTTCACCATGTGCCTCATCAGGAACTGTAGAGCAGCCCTCATCTCCACCTCCTCCGGACACACGGGAGACGAGACACCAGGGGGGCACTCCAGCAGAGCTCCAATCTGCATTATGGCCAGAGGGAGCAGGCTCTGGAGAAATCTTTGGAATGAGCAGCAGCTCTGCATACTTGCTGCGGCTGAGCAGAGCGCTCAGGGCCTTCATGGCTCCCAGGCCTTGGGGTCCGGGGGCTGGGGAGTTGGGCAAAGGGGGGTCGCCTCGGGAACGCTGGGAATCTCTGGGTGTTGTTGTTGGCCTGCTTCACCGATGGTGGTCGCACGCCGGCAGACCTATTCAGCGTAGGGAGCCGCGGATGGGCCTGGTCCGTCCGCGCCCTCGGTGTCCTTGTCTATGGCCCTCAGTGGCAGCACCGCACGACAGTGGTTGGCGTGGATCCAAGTTGTCCTCTCCGCGACCTTAACGGCAGTGTCCGTCACCAGGAGGGCGAGGAATGGACCGAGCCAGCGCTTGGACCGCCAATGTTGTCGTCTCGTTTCCTTCACCAGGACTCAGTCGCCTGGCTTGATCCTGTGCAGAGCCGCCTGCGCAGCCTGTGGCAGGGCGCTCCCGACCTGGGCAGAAATAGAGGACAAAAGTGCATTAATTACCTTACAATAGGACAGCATGTCGTCATCACACAAAGAGGTGCTTGGCAGATCTCTGTTCGGGGGTCCCTCGCCCAAGTTGGGTGGTCTGGCACAGAGGATTTCGAATGGGACTCTCATGCGCATGTACATGAGGGCTAGCGGCAGAGCTTTGAGTGCCATTCTCTCGCTCGCACGCGCCTCCGGGCCAGGGGGCGTAACTGCAGTGTTTACGTATATCAATGCCCAGAAATTCACCCACTTCCTCAATGACTTTTGCTACAAAGTGACTGCCAGTGTCACTAGAGATTTTTTCTCGGGGGGCACAATTTTTGTGAGCAGAGCTTTCACCACCGCGTTGCTTGTGGCGTGTATGCCTGCAAATACTTCAGTCCATTTGGACCAGAGATCCGCCAGAACCAGACAGTATTACTTACCTTGGCATGGTGTGAGTTCAACAAAGTCCCTTTGGACATGTTGAAATGGGCGCAGGGGCGGAGGATGAGCAGCCTGTTGGATACTTTTGAGACTTACCTGGGTTGTGCGCGGGGCATATAGCGCATGTTTGGCTGAATCTCTGTGCAAATGCCGTAAACCCCTTTGTATACCAATTTTGTGTGATTAAATCACACATCATCCCTCCTTTTGAGGCATGGTCTCGACCATGTGCTAAAATTGCAAACTGTCTGAAGAAATGCCGTGGTAGGCACGGTTTGCTGTCTGGTCCCAGCCACACACACCATGCCGTCGTTGAGCCCCATTCCCCTCTCACAGCAGCGTCTCTGCTGGAGTAGAAAATATCAACGTCTTGAGTGAGGTAGTGTGTGTGTGTGTGTGTAGAGGTGCGTATGCCGCTGCCTTGTCCGCGCGCCGATTCCCTGCAGAGATGGGATCAGTGGCATTAGTGTGGGCCTGGCATTTGCATACAGCGATCTCTAAGGGCAACATTACAGCTTTCAGCAGACGTTCAACCTGTGTGGAATTAAGAATTGGTTTACCATCAGATTTCATAAAATTGCGGTGTTTCCACAGTGCTTCCCAGTCGTGCACCACAGAGAAACCATAGCGCGTATCACATAATATGTTGACAGTTTTGCCCGCTGCCAGCTCACACGCCCCGGTGGGCGCGACCAGCTCAGCGGTTTGTGCTGAGTGGTAGTGGGGCAAACTACCAGAGTCTATAGTATCAAAATCAGAACACACAGCATAGCCGACTCGGTTCTTCCCAGTGTTGTCACGTGACGCCGCTCCGTCTGTATAAAAAAAATCAAGTCAGGATTAGTCAGAGGCACCTCTTTCAGGTCTGGCCTGGGAGTGCATCTCTGCTCTATTGTGGCGATACAGCAGTGTGCCTCCCCTTCCTCTGGCGTGAGCAGCAGCGAGGAGGGGTTCAGCTGTGTGCATCCCTTCACCGTAGTTCAAAGAGCACCGTGTTGTACCCCAGCCAACGAGCCGCAGAAAGGCGAGAGGCCCTCTGCTCTAACAGGATCAGGGAAACAGCATGGGGCACAAGCAAAGTTAGTTCAGTGTATCCCACAAGGTCACGTGATGCTAGGGCCGCTTTCTCAGCGGCAGCCACAGCCCGCAGGCAGCGAGGCAACCCTGCTGCCACGGGATCGAGTTTTGCTGAGAAGTAAGCAGTGGGTCTCAGTGGCCCTCAGTGAGGCTGCAAAAGTACCGACTGTTCCGTTCATCTCCAGTTGCTTTTCTCCCGGATCGTCCTCAATTCATATTGTGGGCTTTTGTGCCAAAGTGGAGGCTCATTTCCTCCTGATCCATACTACTGTCATCCCTGGAGCAGGGGTAGTTTATCTCTCATCTGAAAAAGAAATATCAGAACACAAAAAAAAACAAAAAATGCCCACTTTCGCTTGTCAATCTTTTTCCAATTGGGCAAAACATAACTGCATTGACAGGTGGTGTGTGGCATCAGGGCGGAGGCTGTAGCCAAATACAGAACAACAAAATGTATGTTTCTAATTTTATACTTCCCTAAATGTGAGTTTACAAACCAAGTTGTCCTTCAACCAACGACAGCTCACTGCGGTTGGACTGTGTCGCTGTCAGGACAAACAGCAGAGGGAGGAACTCCCAATATCTTCAGCGAGGTATTTCATCTCCGAGTACTTTCCGCAGAGTACTTTTCTCCGAGTACTCATCCCAGAGTACTCTCACTTTTACACCTGTTCAATAAAGCTTGTTATCTTTGAATCTCTAGTACTTACACCGTATGCTGTTGACAAAAAAATAATTATTCCATGATCACATTAAAACATTACAGACACATTTGTTATTCCATGATTCCGTTCAGCATTCCTCAGTTCACTCCTTATTTCACACATCACACTCATATCACAGTCACATCACAGTCACATCACAGGCCGATTCCCCCACGTTAGTATTTTGGTCCAGTTTGTTAAGGTCGACGTAGTGTACTTTGACATGACACACAAACATATAACATACACAAAACATATAACACACAAACATGTAACACACAGAAGGCCTGTACTTTTAACTTTGTTATATTTTTCCATGTCCAATTCCAATTGTCTCATGAGCTATTTCTTATTGTTGCAACTTTCAGAGCCTGCAGAGCTTTAAAAGAGTTTTCCTAAAAGGATCCATTTCCAACTTTAGTGTTTACCACGTGGTCTGTATTTCGGGCTTATCACAGATGGTGTCCCCTATATCTCTAATGAGCTCTTGTCACCTAAAAAATGTTTATTTTCCTTATTTTATTTTTTTTTTTTGTTTCAATAAAGCCAGGTCGGATTCATTAAAAATGTAAATTAGTCTCAAACTTTAATACTTCACCTTTGTTTCACGATAAAATGTTTTTGTTGCTCATTAAGTAGCACAGATAGTGGTGCCTATCTCAATAAACGTACTCCGTTAGCCTATCTTCCCTACACTGCATGAATTTTCAAACTCCAAGTTATTGTCTGGGACCGACCGGAGAGAGCAGCTTAGGTCGTTCGCGTGGTTGACCTCCAAATTTTGTGCGGGCGTCACTATCCACTTGTTGTGGCTAATAACTTAGAAATCTCAGGGTTTGGTGTCAATTTCCAGTGGTAGTTAACTTTTGGGACCGGTGCCTCCTTTTATTTATCTATTTTTAATTGAGTCTGCACATAAGGTCTCGGCCTAGTAGATTAACCGGGCACAATGGGGAATATAGAAAAGAATGTTTAAGCTGGTTGCCCTGAGAATCAAAACACGTTAGCGGTGACGTAAATTGCTCTTTAGTCGTCTCTCCCGACGCTGCTAATGAGAATATGAAGCGGCCGCTCATTTTAGGGGAGACAGAAAGGCTGTCACTTTTTAGCACAGAATTTGTTGCCCCGGAGTCATCCAGAAAAGTAACATTTTCGCCACAAATTGTTAGCGTATGTTACGGGAATTCAGCATGAATTATCTCTAAAAAGTGCCAATTGCAATTTGTTGTTGTTCAAACTTACATGAGCGGTCGCTTTGGTGACGAATGTGAACCCAGGTTTGGTCAGTCGCTCGTGTTTCCTCCGTGCCCGCCTCTGCCGTCCTCTGGCCCCGTGTTAGCTTGAGAGGCCCTCTGCCTTTAACGCCTCCTCCGGTAACAGTCCTTCGACCCATGTCGAGCACACAGTCTTTCCGCCGGGCTGTGGAAGTTTCTCAAAGTCCGCAGGAGGCCCAGGTAGCCCAAAGCGTTAGCATGTGGTCCATGAGGGTTGGTGAATAACCCAAACGTGCCGGTACTTTTGGCTTCTTCTGTTTGCGGTGCGGGAACAACTTTCAGGGGGGTTTCCGCGGGTGCGTTTGGTATATCACGCTGCCCCCTCCGTGGAGAACAGTCACGGGATTTGGAGCAGTTTCTCTCTGTGCTCCAAAGCAGTTCTCGGTGTCTCACATATTTGCTTCCCCGCTTCTTCTTCTGTGGTTTCCTGAGCGTGTGTCTGTTTCCGCCTCTTCTTCTTCTGCGGTTTGGGCCCACTTCTCGCGGGGTCTCAGCTGGTGCGAGCGCCGCCTGTGGTTGGGGCGTGGGGCTGGTGCTTTGAGGCAGAGGACAGAGCGCGGAGGAAAGGCGCCGACAGACCTGGATAAGGGAGAGGGAAAAGAGACAACAGTAGTCTGCTTCATTTTTTAAAAACCCAACGCCTTGTTTGGGTGCACACTTATTGTTAGTAGGGGTAGGGTGGGGGTGTGGGGGATGTGTGTGTGTGTGTCCGCCTGTGTTCTCCGCTTCGGTGAAAGGCGGAGGAGCTATTGTTTTTACATATTTCTTTCTCTAACCTCTTTTGCCGTGATATTCTTAAAACCAAGTATATTTTTTTTTTCTTCCCTTCTTCTTCTAAATTATCACGCAAGATGCGTAATGACCTGCACCATAGGCAAGCACTCCATAGCTTGCATCTCCTAGATTGATTTTTACCCATTTTCTCGTACGAACAATGGGCCTAACCCGCTTAGTCTCTCCCTGCTCCTACCCACTTTGGGGCGCTCCATTCCCCCCTCGCTGGTTCAACCAGCGAGCGCGCGTTCTTGAAATGGAGCGGTTCTGGCTGAAGACACTTAGAGAAATTTTCAGGGTCGCCTACAGGACGATACTAACGCGCAGCCGCTAGTTTTCAATCTAGAACAAAAAGCCCCCCAAAAAATCCCGCACACAGACTATGCTGTGGCAATGAATGAAATACCCCAAAAATACATAAATAAACAAATCCCCGTGTACACTTAAGTGCTGCCCTGGGCTCGTTACGCAGATGAAAAGACAAGACTCACCAGATTAGGTTCTTTTTGGTCTTGTGTGGCAAAAGGATTCCTTCCGTGCGTGGACGAGCGCGCTCTCCCTTGTCTCCAAAAAGGAACAGAGGCTGGTGATCCAGGTCGGCCAAACAAAGCCGCTCGTCCCGCCGAAAGTATCCCATGCCAAGACATGTCAGCAGCAACGCCAAATTGTTATAGAAATATATACCCCATGAAGGAGGAAACTCAAAGGTCCTTTGTCTGATCAAAAGCGTAAGTTTATTGTTAACGCACAGTGCGGAGGGCCAGCACATCCACTCAAAAGCAGCATGTCCCAGCTCTGGGGGCCAGAGCCCCCAGCTTCCTGTATACAAAACACACACCAAAGATAGTCACGCCCACAACGGAGCGGAGGGGGCCACCGGTGAGGAGGCGCACAGGAAGCGCCGGCGCCATCCCCTGTGGTGGCAGTGGCATGGGGTGTGAACAGACAGACAACGGTGGAAATGCAGGTCATACAGATGCAAGACGGAAAGACACAAGGGTGTGACAGACAGCAGGGACCTTCACAAAGCTCAGCATGGCGTCAGAAGGTCGTCCGCACTGACAAAAGGCCTCCGACGTCCGTGTATTTGCTGCGGCTGGTTTTAATGTAATTACTCCAAAAACTGTCACCACAACGTTGAATCAATTTTTATCTGGAAAGTTTAGCGCTTTAGTTCATCCACTGCTTTTGCAGTTACTTGAACAAAGAGTTCAATTATTTAATACATTTTAGCATGATCATTTCCAGTATCGGTCAATATCGGTATCGGCAGATACCCATAGCTCTGGTATCGGTATCGGTAGTAAAAAAGCTGGATCGGTGCATCTCTAATATTGAAGTGGCTACAACCAGAAAAAACAATCAACAATATCACAAACAGCTTTGTCCCTCTGTGTTTATGAGCCTGTGTCAGGAATTAGGCTCCGTTTTAAGTTGAATTGCAGAAATAACTAGACTCAGGGCGGATTACTGTAACACTGCACACCAGAATCCTATATAACTAATCGGTTATTGAGTAAGTAAACTTTTATATATATATATATAGATATAGCGCCTTTCACAGACCAGAGTCACAAAGCGCTTTGTTTATGGGCATTTGTCTCACTCCACACAGAGATGGAGCAGGTCACATACAGGACACGCATTTCAGATCTATTCTACATGTCTTTGGTGGTAGGGGAAACCGGAGCACCCGGAGGAAACCCACGCAGACACAGGGAGAACATACAAACTCCACTCAGAAAGACCCTGTTCCGACCAGGATTTGAACCCAGGACCCTCTTGCTGAAAAGCGAGGGCTAACCACTCAGCCACCGTGTCTCGATCAGTTGGGAGAATATTTGCTAAATGAATCGATTACGAAAAGAAGCATTAGTGAAGTATATTTGAAGTGTTTGGTGTTTGCAGATGGGTCGTCGGATGGCTGAGCTCCCGGTGGACCCCATGCTCAGTAAGATGATCCTGGCTTCAGAACAGTGAGTGTACCATGGATTTCACACAAACACAGTATTTACATTTATCATCTTTTCAATGTCTTTGTTTATTGGACTTTTCCACCGGAGTTCACAGGAGAAAGACGAGGGAAGCAACAGCGGATATTATGACATATGAAAACAACTTATTCAGGAACTTATTTATTCAGGAACTTACTCCTAATTTTAGGGATGTGAAAATCACTATTTTTTCCCTCTGATCCTGGTTTGATTGTTAAATCCGATCCAATCTCAAGTCCTGAGCCGACACTTTTTATCATTGGTGTTGTTAATTATAAAACAAAAATATTAGCACGTCAACCTATGCTGAGTTGTAATGTATTAGTCCAGTGTTTGTTGTTTTAGCTCAACATTCCCTTCGGTAGATTTGATAATAATAATAATGATAATAATAATGATGATGATAATGATAATAAAGATAATGCAGAGGTTTTATATAGAGCTTTTTTGGAAACTCAGACGCTTCACACAACGCCGTATGCTCGGCCAATCAACATGTTTCATACTTACATGTTTAATCTCAGGTAGATAAGCCAATTCCCGTTGTTTTCAAAATGTTGTATCCATTTTACAATAAAGGAAATATCTGTAATGTTTATTTTATACAGTTTCTGTAAGAATTAGAGAAAGTGTCAGCGAGAAAAACTTAAACTAACTTGTTCAGTTTAGTGGTTACAATTCTCTCCATATATACACAAAATCAATGCACTTTTCACTCAAATTGTGTGTGTTTGTGTGTATGTGTGTGTGTCTTTCTCTCTGTGTGTGTGTTTCTGTGTGTGTGTGTGTGTCTCTGCGTCTGTCTTTGTGTGTCTCTGTGTGGTCTCTGCCTCTGTCTCTGTGTGTCTCCGTGTGTCTGTCTCCATGCGTGTGTGTGTGTCTGTGTCTCAGGTACAAGTGTTCGGAGGAAATCCTGTCAATCGCCGCCATGTTGTCGGTGAATAACTCCATCTTTTATCGGCCAAAAGACAAAGTGGTGCACGCCGACAACGCACGCCAGAACTTCACCGTACCAGGAGGAGACCACCTGGTGCTGCTCAACGTCTACAACCAGGTGAGCACACTGCTGCCCCTCCACCTCCTGCTGGGCATCAGGGTCCAACACTTCTATCAGGCTGATTTTCTCATTACGGGACAAACTCAGTGTTAAAACCATCGACTGTGAATATTAACGGATGTAGTCACCCCTATCTCCGTCACTGAAACTAATGTGCCACCACTTTTGCTTCAAAGGGGCTTTTCAAAATGGCCGCGGGGCGGGAAAATGTGAAAAAACGCATTTGCACATGTGTTAGCCGGCACGAGCCCCATTAGTTTAACGAGTGCATTCAAAAGTCCACAGCGGCTAAACTAGACTGGTCCAAAAAATATATACTCCCCTCAGCATTGACACACATGTGGAACGTAGCGTTGGGCCAAGAGCCGACTTTTGGACCATCCTGTAAAGACGTTTTTGAGAGTAAAAAATATGCCATACAAAAGCAATGGATAATTCTCTTTTCAGGTGTACACCCACAGGCCCGGGGTGGTATCGCAAGCATGTCAGTGCAGACAATTATGGACATTTTTGAGTCGGGACCCGCCCCCATTGCTTAAAACTAAAGCCTAGTGTATAGTCTCGCGGCGCGGAGCTTACGGTGGTGATGTGACGTCACTTGTGCAACACGTGGATCACCGCAAGGCCCTTACGTAGCCTGCCGCGCACCCTCGAAAATGTCTAACTACGTAAGGGTCGCCGCAGAGAAGCTCCACTGTGATTGGTCCGTGTGTGATTACTTTCTGGGAAGCATAGAGCGGCTGCAGGGAGCATGGACGAGGCACTTCGGAGCAGACTGCTTCGCGCTTCGAAGGAAAAGCAGATTGGGCTCAGAGCCTGATATACGCGGAGACTGTGGACTAGAGTTCTGTTGCATATCTAACATATATATAACTTATTAACTGTGCAGTCGTTTCTTTTGCACTGTTCCTGTCTTGTTTGGATCGTAGCTTATCGCGTCTGTTCCATTCCTCCTGCACTTTTAAATCGTGCATTTTTGCCTCCGATATTTCACAATTATTGTTTTGCTGTTTGTGCTGAATACAATTGAATAATAACTTTGTTTCCAACAAGAACTGTGTCTTTATTCACAACATCACAGTTAAATGAGTTAAGAAATAATGAGTCCATAGAACTATCACATAAACCTACAGTAGAAACACGTGTAATGATCTCAAACAGCTCGGTTTGTTCATGTTTTTGATCTGAAGAGGAGAAAGAAGTAGCGAAAATGGGACCGCTTTGGTTTCTCAGGCAACTCCTGTGAGATCACCATCATGTGGTTGGTTGTGGGATTACAACATTCTCTTCAAAACTCCGCAAGCAATTGTGCTTGCGTAGGTCCACCGTAACCGCTAACGTAAGCCGCACGAGTGTACACAGGCTTTAATACTGCCAGAAATCGTTTTTATTTTTGTTTTAAGACAGGAGCACCATTAAGAAAAAACATAGATTAACAGCAGTGCCTCATTATTTTTTAAGAGCATTGTATTATAAGAATTCAACTGTCAACTGTGCCACATGTTCTTTTTCTTCATTATCTGAATCGTATTTATGGTAATTGAGTGGAGTTTGAAAAGTTTCGCCTCTGATATCCTTCTTTTTGATGAATATTTGGGAGGCAGCTAACTCTCATCCCTTTCGGATGTTACAAATGTCAACAATGGCCTTGACCTTTTTCCCCAGTTCTAAAACGGCTCACTAGGGGGCGTGCCAGTCATGTTGACAGAACCGGGGATAATACGGATGAAGATAAAAGAATCAATGAACATCAATTTCGGCTTGAATTAACAATATTTGACCTAATGTATGAAATTATCAGACGGGAAATTTTATACACATTGTTTAGTAACAAGAATTGATGTGTAAATGTTCAATTATCAAAGATTTTGTTGATGATTGTTCAAAAACTGTTGTAGTTCAAATGGATATTCTGGAATAGAAAGGTGACGGAATCCTTTGAATAAATACAATTATAAATGAAATCAGGTGCATTAAACTGTATTATTGAACTGTAGCTGTGGCCATGGACGTCAGAAATATAATTATGCGATGATCCTTAATGAGAAAATCACCCTTTAACACAGACCAGGGTAAAGTGCGGTGGGACCCACGTACGGCCCGGGACCCACGTGGGTCCCGGGCCCCACGTGCGGCCCGGGACCCACGTGCGGCCCGGGACCCAAGTGCGGCCCGGGACCCAAGTGCGGCCCGGGACCCAAGTGCGGCCCGGGACCCAAGTGCGGCCCGGGACCCAAGTGCGGCCCGGGACCCAAGTGCGGCCCGGGACCCAAGTGCGGCCCGGGACCCAAGTGCGGCCCGGGACCCAAGTGCGGCCCGGGACCCAAGTGCGGCCCGGGACCCAAGTGCGGCCCGGGACCCAAGTGCGGCCCGGGACCCAAGTGCGGCCCGGGACCCAAGTGCGGCCCGGGACCCAATGCGGCCCGGGACCCAAGTGCGGCCCGGGACCCACGTGCGGCCCGGGACCCACGTGCGGCCCGGGACCCACGTGCGGCCCAATTCATGTTTCCATGTGGCCCTCGGACCTTTTCTTATCCCCAAACTTTATACTGTCTCCCCCCCATTTAAATTAATTTGGCATTTTTTATCCCATCCCCAAAACTTCTTACGCTTTAGTCCAGCTTCGATTAAATCTTAGCAGGAATTTAATTTTAAAGACAACAAAAAATTAGGGCGGTCTAACAATTAACATTTTTAATTGAGTTTATTACAGCTTAAAAATTAATTAATCGTAATTAATCGCATTTCGAACTATCAACAAAATGATGCCATATTCTTCTGTAAATGGTTGTTTGAATGGAGAGATAAATGCATAGTGAACATATGTAAAGTATTTGTTTATTATAACAACAATAAATCCAGATAAAATGGCATTAACATAATTAACATTCTGTCTTACTGTTTAGACTCAGACCAAAACTATTGTTTGTTACAGATGAGGGACATTTCAAAAGAGTCTGAGGCAGAATGTCATTAAATCTGTTTGATTTGCTCACAACATTGCGTTGTTCACAACCAACATGAACTGGTAGTGCAAGGGAAAATTAGGTACCCCAGCTTTAATTTAGCGAGTGTGCTTCGGGAGAAGAAACGGAGGAGACTCCATAGTCCAGCCTCAGCGCTGTATTTATTTTATTCACCGGTTACGCAAAGACACGCACACTACAAGCAGAGAATAGTTTAGTATGGTCTTGGATATGATCCAGTTACGGCGCCGTTCGCTGTGATCAGAGCCGCTGGAGGTGGGAACCTCTGTCCAGCGCGCCGCAGCTCAGCTCACAGAGTTCATACAGGAAACAACAGCGGTCACATGTGTATTCTTTTAAAACTTGGATTCCCAGAGCCTACCTGCTCTGTTGCCATCTCACTCACACACATTCTGAGTGTTATTATGGGATACGTGGGCATGCGTTAATTACATTTTTTCATTAATCTCGTAAAATTTTTTAACGCAATTAATGAACTAATTTAATCAACGGGCTTTAACACGATAATTTTGACAGCCCTACAAAAAAATATAATCAATTTTTAATAGAGTAATAATTTAACCCAAACTGAGTCCCATTTTGTAAAGGTTAAAACAAAAGTAAAGCCGCATATGACCTTACACACAAACACAGAATCGCTTTGGTTCCCGATGTATATTAAATGTGTGTGTGTCTGTGTGTGACATCACTAACTGTGTGCGTCTCTTGCTCAGTGGGTGGAGAGCGGCTTCTCGACGCAGTGGTGCTACGAGAACTTCATCCAGTTCCGGTCAATGCGTCGAGCGCGAGACGTGCGCGAGCAGCTGGAGGGACTGATGGAGCGCATCGAGGTGGAGGTGGTGAGCTCACAGGGAGACTGTGTGCCCATACGCAAGGTACACACTGCATAGCAACCACATGGCAACCGCATAGCAACAAGAGTATAGAAAAACTTGACTTTATTGAACACAAAAAATGACGGTGGTGGTGGTGGTGAATACATATTTGTTGGAAAAAAAGACTAATCAGGAGTATCTATATATATTTATCCAAGTCACAGAATAATTCTGACACAAGAATAAGTAAGTAAGTAAGTAATCTTTATTTACTTTCACAGAGCAGAGTCACACACAGAGAGCGAGTACAGGAGGTGCCTGTGACATATTGTACAGGTTTTTAGTGGTAGGGGAAACCGGAGCACTCGGAGGAAACCGGAGCAGACACAGGGAGAACATACAAACATACATACAAAGGCCCTGATCCGCCCGGGATTTGAACCCCCCCCTTCTTGCTGAAAAGCGTGAGTTCTGTCCACTCAGCCAAAGTGCCGCTGTGGCAAACACTAAAAACATATTGTGTAAAGTGGGGCCCCCTAGTGGACAATACACACACACATTCACATTCACACTCTACTGGACAAGTAATTTTTTATTTAACCTTTCTTTAACCAGGAAAGCCCCATTGAGATTAAGAGGGAGTCCATAACAAGAGGCAAAAGTTACACACAATGACATTCATACAATTACAGATTATAAAACCAGTTATATCAATGAGGCCGTCTCTAGTGTCTCAATCTGGACTTTATATATATATATATATATATATGATATATATATAGATATCTTTTATCTGGACAAATTCAGATAATTTCAGTCCAGATCCTCAGGCCAAATGTATATTTCTGCATTGGAAAGATGGTTCGATTTGAATAATTTCAAATAACTTTATTCATCCGTGAGGAACTTTATTTACAGACGGAGCACCATTGGGGTACACAAAACCACAGAAGCACACGATCTAAGTATAAATACAGTAAAAGAGCAGAAATGCAATATAAAATACATAAAACCGGTCTCCAAATCAGCTGTTTAAAAGGCGAATTGAGGTTGGGAGGAAGCTGGATGTGGCCCTTTTTGTTTTGCCTCAGACTCCTCTGACCTGGGCTCAGACCCTTGTGTTTGTGGACGTGGAGCAGTCTCTCTGTAAACACTGAGTCACCACGTGGAGCTTTTGTCGCGGCTCCAGTTTCTCTTCAAACTCCACAAAACAAATGTGGGCCATGTTTTTGTTCATTTGGAAAGGAGAGGAGCACGTACCAACACACACAGCCACGTCGTCAACTCCATACGATTTCACAAGACTCAAACGAACAAGTTTTAGACATCAGAAAATGCTTATCCTGTATACTTCTGTGTGCTTATAGTAGGTGAGAAGATTATAATATACATACAGATTAGATAGATCTGTGGCTATTCCAAGAATAATACTATAATGACAGATATTTCACAAGTAAATCAAACCAAAATGTACTTTGTAATCATTCAAAAAGATCATTTTGGCCTTGAAAATGTGTGGTTTATCGCTCTCTATGATCCTGGTGTTAATATTTTGATGTTGGTCTGGGTCCAGAGACAAGACCCAAACCCAGTCCTGAAAGGGCAGTGGCTGTTGGGAGCCATCATCATCATCAGCTGGGTTTAGTGTCTAAATAATCAAATGTATTTATGTCTATTTTAATAAATGATTGTGTTAGAAACATTGAATAGTAAGGGCCAAAACTACTGGACCACTTGTCTTTGCCTCAACAGGTTCTCAGGCAAGTTTATTTGTATAACACAGTCCTTACACAAGGCAACTCAAAGTGCTGAACCAAACAAGATAGAATCAATCTTACAAGGAATTAACAATCACTAGAGATAGTAAAGATAAAAACCTAAGTTGTGGATAGATACTTGCACATGGAAATGCACATCCATCCACACAAACAAAACAAATAGCCTTTTAGAATGATCAATATAACAATAATAATGATAAAATGCAACAGCACTTTAGGTCACAGCAGCAGAGGTGGAACAGCAGCTTGGTTCGGAGCATTTTCTCTGTGGAGAAAGCATTCCTCCAGTGGATTTTCACCCGATCCACTTGGTTAGGACCATGAATCCTCTCCACTCTGGTTTGGACCAGTGCAAAACCGTGAACACTCTACTGCAGCAACATCTCAGGCAGAAAAAGGCAAGAAAAATAACAATTGTAAAACACAAAACACCTGTTTCAGAGCTTCTCTGGACTTGCAGCCGTTTCCAGCGCATTGAAAAGTAAATTGTCTGCAGCTAAACAACTGTTTTAACCTGGATTTGAACTTTGTCAGAGAAGAAGCCGGTCTCACATTTTCAGGAAGACTGTTCCATGTTCTGGCTGCATGAATCTGAAACGCTGCCTTCTCATGTTTAGTTCTTAGACTGGTTCAGTTTGAATTCCTCCCACATTTGAGACGTTATGTAGTAAAAGTAAGATTATTCTTGGGACATTTTAAGACTGTAAAATCTCGAATATTATGGCTCTTGAGAAGTTTGAGCCCGGCTTGTTGTTTGTCTGTGGTTGATCTTAAGCTGTGTTTGCCTCTGTCCAGGCCGTCACCGCGGGTTACTTCTACCACACGGCGCGTCTCAGTAAAGGCGGCTACAAGACGGTGAAGCATCAGCAGACGGTCTACGTGCATCCAAACAGCTGCCTGTTCGAGGAGCAGCCGCGCTGGCTCATCTACCACGAACTGGTCTTCACCACCAAGGAGTTCATGAGACAGGTGAGGAGGAGGGGGGTGAGAGGGGAGGAGAGATGAGTTTATGAGACAGGTGAGGAGGAGGGGGGAGAGGAGGGAGGAGTTCATGAGACAGGTGGCGAGGGGAGGGAGGAGAAAATGAGACAGGTGAGGAGGAGGGGTGAGAGGGAGGAGGGGGGAGAGAAGGGAGGAGTTCATGAGACAGGTGAGGAGGAGGGAGGAGTTCATGAGACAGGTGAGGAGTAGGGAGAGAGGAGGGAGGAGTTCATGAGACAGGTGAGGAGTAGTGAGAGGGCAGAAGAGAGGAATTCATGATACAGGTGAGGAGGCGGGGGATAGAGAGGGGAGGGGGGACTTCATGAGACAGAGGAGGGGAGGGAGAGGGGGAGGGAGTTCATGAGATGAGTGAGGAGGTGATGTCGGAGGAGAGGGGGAGGTGGAGATGGGAGAGGAGAGGGGAGGTGGAGATGGCGGAGGAGAGGGGAGGTGGAGATGTCGGAGGAGAGGGGAGGTAGAGATGGCGGAGGAGAGGAGAGGTGGAGATGTCGGAGGAGAGGGGAGGTGGAGATATCGGAGGAGAGGGGAGGTGGAGATGTCTGAGGAGAGGGGAGGTGGAGATGGCGGAGGAGAGGGGAGGTGGAGATGGCGGAGGAGAGGGGAGGTGGAGATATCGGAGGAGAGGGGAGGTGGAGATGGCGGAGGAGAGGGGAGGTGGAGATGGCGGAGGAGAGGGGAGGTGGAGATATCGGAGGAGAGGGGAGGTGGAGATGTCGGAGGAGAGGGGAGGTGGAGATGGCGGAGGAGAGGGGAGGTGGAGATGGCGGAGGAGAGGGGAGGTGGAGATGGCGGAGGAGAGGGGAGGTGGAGATGGCGGAGGAGAGGGGAGGTGGAGATGGCGGAGGAGAGGGGAGGTGGAGATGGCGGAGGAGAGGGGAGGTGGAGATGGGGAGGGCGGAGGAGATGCGGAGGAGAGGGTGGAGATGGCGGAGGAGAGGGGAGGTGGAGATGGCTGAGGAGAGGGGAGGTGGAGATGTCTGAGGAGAGGGGAGGTGAAGATGGGAGAGGGGAGGTGGAGATGTCTGAGGAGAGGGGAGGTGGAGATGGCGGAGGAGAGGGGAGGTGGAGATGTCTGAGGAGAGGGGAGGTGGAGATGTCGGAGGAGAGGGGAGGTGGAGATGTCGGAGGAGAGGGGAGGTGGAGATATCGGAGGAGAGGGGAGGTGAAGATGGGAAAGGGGAGGTGAAGATGGGAGAGGAGAGGGGAGGTGGAGATGTCGGAGGAGAGGGGAGGTGGAGATGTCTGAGGAGAGGGGAGGTGGAGATGGCGGAGGAGAGGGGAGGTGGAGATGTCGGAGGAGAGGGGAGGTGGAGATGTCGGAGGAGAGGGGAGGTGGAGATGTCGGAGGAGAGGGGAGGTGGAGATGGCGGAGGAGAGGGGAGGTGGAGATGTCGGAGGAGAGGGGAGGTGGAGATGGCGGAGGAGAGGGGAGGTGGAGATGGCGGAGGAGAGGGGAGGTGGAGATGGCGGAGGAGAGGGGAGGTGGAGATGGCTGAGGAGAGGGGAGGTGGAGATGTCTGAGGAGAGGGGAGGTGAAGATGGGAGAGGGGAGGTGGAGATGTCTGAGGAGAGGGGAGGTGGAGATGGCGGAGGAGAGGGGAGGTGGAGATGTCTGAGGAGAGGGGAGGTGGAGATGTCGGAGGAGAGGGGAGGTGGAGATGTCGGAGGAGAGGGGAGGTGGAGATATCGGAGGAGAGGGGAGGTGAAGATGGGAAAGGGGAGGTGAAGATGGGAGAGGAGAGGGGAGGTGGAGATATCGGAGGAGAGGGGAGGTGGAGATGTCTGAGGAGAGGGGAGGTGGAGATGGCGGAGGAGAGGGGAGGTGGAGATGTCGGAGGAGAGGGGAGGTGGAGATGGCGGAGGAGAGGGGAGGTGGAGATGTCGGAGGAGAGGGGAGGTGGAGATGGCGGAGGAGAGGGGAGGTGGAGATGTCGGAGGAGAGGGGAGGTGAAGATGGGAGAGGGGAGATGGGAGAGGAGAGGGGAGGTGGAGATGTCTGAGGAGAGGGGAGGTGGAGATGGGAGAGGGGAGATGGGAGAGGAGAGGGGAGGTGGAGATGGGAGGTGGAGCCCAGAGCCACACTGCTGGTTTCCCACACTTGTCACGTGTGTCGCAGGTGATCGAGATCGACAGCAGCTGGTTGTTGGAAGTGGCTCCTCATTATTACAAGAGCAAAGAGCTGGAGGACAGCAGCACCAAGAAGATGCCCCGCAAACAGGGCAAGAGCAAAGACGAGCTCGGCTGAAGGCGGAGACCGAACCGCCGCTGTCGAGGAGGAGCCTTCGTATGATTTTGTACCATTTCAATTAAAACGCTTTCTATAAACCACTGGATCGACGTGGATTCTGTTCATGTGTTCTGGGTTTCTATTATCAAAGGCTCAAGGAGGAAAAACTTCAAAACCATTATTATTAGTTGAGTTTAATGTACAAAGCAATCATTGATTCAAAGATACATATACAACAGATATTTAGTTTATTTTCGTTGCGATGGTGAATTTTTTTACTACATCCAGTCAATGTCCATGTGTTCTTCTTCCCAGTTTGTTGTTTTGAACCAGCCAATAAGTAAACTTAGTATAAAAAAATAGTATTCAAATATGACTTTTTTGAGCAGATCGTAGAGTAACTGGGCACTATGGGGACGAGCTTGATCAAATGGGGGGAGCTCAGAGTAGAACCGCTGCTCCTGGCATCTGTTTTGGATGCCTCCTGTACTGGGCATGTCCCACCAGGAGGAGACCCAGGACTGTCTCTCAGCTGGGAAGGCCTCAGGATTCCCCCAGATGAGCTGCAGGAGGTGTGTGGAGAGGAAAGTCTGTGTCTCTGCTTTGACCCGGCAACAGATGGAAGAGTCTCTCATAATTCACCACATTATTGTTAATACATTTTCAAAGCAGAAAATAATGCTGTTTCATTTGAGAGAAACGTTTCCACAGGAGGTCATTTCAACAAAGAACTTCAAAAAACAATAGAGGCTGAATAAACGGCAGAAGGTGCGCTGAGAAACGGCTGCAAGTCCTAAGTAGCTCTGAAACAGTTGTTGTTTTGTGCTGCAGTACAGTGTGCATAGTTTTGCACTGGTCCAGACCAGAGCAGAGAGGATTCATGGTCTGAACCAAGCGGATCAGCCAAAAATCCACTGCAGGAATGATAACTTTTAACAAAATGCTGATGAAGCATTTAGCATTTTACCTTGAACTAGAGCAGAGAAACTGGTCCGAACCAAGCGGCTTCTCCACCTTTTGACCTGTCCTGCTCCACCCAGCGGTAACTCCACCTCTGCTGCTGCGACCTGAAGGGCTGTTGCTGATTATTACTATTGTTATCTTTTTAGAATGATCAATTTTTTTAATTTTTTTTATTTTTGCTGCTTCTGGACACCTGGATTTCTGCTACGGGGATCAATAAAGTATCATCTATCTATATCTAAAGTTTTGAAACTTCCAAGAAACCGTATAAAATCCATGTCACTAGTTCCTGAATCTAGTACAGTTTGTTTCTATCTTAGTCAAACTTAACTTTAATCTTTAAACTTTTAACTTGAATCCGAGGTGAGTGTTTGGACTGGAGTCTGAGCAGCGGCGACATGTGCTGCTGATACAGTATCAAACATTCAGATCACGTCTGTCTCTGGTGCTCCTCTGTGATTACAGGATACAGAACTAAGTGACACACATTCACTATGATCAACTCTCCTGAAGCAAAGCACTCGTTTCAACCGTCATCAGCCTTTGATGAATATGTGGCCCTCAAACTTTAAAGGTCCCATATCAGGCTCTTCATATTCACAGTCTATTCTAAGCATGTGTGATGATAGTTTGAGTTATACACCACACAACACTCAACACTTTTAGCTATAGCTCAATCCAGAAACCCTTATTATTTAGTTAACACTGATCTACGGCGAGGTAGATTCATTGTACTTACACATACATGATCCTCGTTTTCTTTTAGAGCGAATATAACACAGGTTTCCAGATCGGCTTTTGAGGAAGTCCAGGCTCATGGTACCTGTAGTTGTTGAACAGTCTTCGGTGCCACAGGAAAATATATACTGTACGTAGTAGATTTCAGACGCAGATTGCCGTGAATAAAGTCCAGCCACATTCGCTTCTTCGTAAAACTCGATTTGGTAAACGCTGGACTCAGAGAGAGGCTGAATGCGCTGGTTTGCTGTTTTGATTTGTTCTGTACATTTGTATTAGTTTATTTTTTATATATATATAACAAACTGCATATTTCCCTGTTTTTACGATATTATTTTAGAACAATTCTAAACACAGAGGGTTTGTGTTCGTCACAGATGTGGACCCTGGTGTTTTGCTGCCTATGGAGAAGAAAAGAGAAAGGTTGTGCTGTTTAACTAAAGCTAAGAGAATCAATGAAAAAACTACTTTGGGCAAATAGCACTCTGATGACGTTTAAAGCAGAGAAAAGTCAAAAATGTAACATGGGAACTTTAATGTCAGAGCAGAGGTGGCACTTTTTACCCCACTGGCTTTTTAGAGCTGTTCCTTGTCGATGCAGGAAGGTCTAAGGACACTCAACATTCAGTAGAAGCAGAAGAAAATGTATTGGTGGCTGGATGAGTGTTTCAACCACATTTATGGACATTGATCATTTGCCCCTTATGAACCAATGGCTCTATGTGTTTTTTATGCAGTTCATGTTTGAACTGTTTGATTCTCTAATCTGTGTTGGCGAATCAAAAGTTTGTAAAGTCCTCCGAGATAACTACTGTTGTGATTCAGGGCAATACAACAAAAAATTTAATTGAACTGTTTCTGCGTATTAACTGACCTAACGGCAGCATGTAGAGATTGAACAGAAGAGGTCCCAGGATCGACCCCTGTGGTACTCCACAGGTCAGGGCCATATGATCTGAGACAGTTTCCGATCTCCACAAAGTACTTCCTGTCTTCTAGTTCATTGTCAAATATCTATATTTATCCATATAGTTTAGACAAAGGCAGTGTGGATGTGCCAACTCGGCCGAGTGAACCTCTGTGGCCTAGTTTCCTGCGATATGAGATACACATGTGAGAAGTGACCGGAGTGATATTGTAAAGTGAGCCTGTCTTTTGACTGCGAGGATACTGTGTATGAACTGAGCTGGAAAAATAAATATGTTTTTCCAGATATGTGGATATATCATGTGTCATGTAGAAAATGATCACAAACACTGGGTAAATAAAGTAATAAAACCTACTAGAACTTTAGTATATGTATTAACTTTTGCTGCTTAGAGCTTGAAAAAAATCCCAAAATACAATCTCAGAAAATTGTATTGTTAAAAGGAACAAAAATTCTATCGTGTGGGGACCTTTATTAGTCGCAGACTGAGGCTGAAGTTGCTGCATCAAGAGCAGACCCAGCCTTTTGAGAAGGAAACAATACAACTCTGAGACAGAAGTGATTTTTCTACTGGCCAACATCAAGCATATGTTTTTGAAGACTGAGACAACTTCTGTTGTTGATATGTGCTGACGAAGAAATAGTCTAGACTAAACTGAGACTAGAATCTGACTTTTAACTAATACGTACCAGAGTTACCAGGAGAGATGTTTCAGCTGCTCTCCACCACCATGTGAAGCTAAAGGCTCTGTCCACTTATCATTGTGTGTTGTGTGTTACAGTTGTTTGTAAAAAAAAGAAAATATACTTATAAATGTTTGTCCGTCATTACATAAATTAATTAAATGTTCTCAGTTCTGAGTAATATATGAACACATTTCAGAAGTACCTGAGTCAAGAGTACTGCATAAATAAATGTTACAGTAGTATATGTCCTGGTGAATTGGCTGAATGCAGTGGAAAATACCAGAGCTGCAGACGGTTGCCAGATCTGTATCAGACTCAGGTGATGGAGCAGGTCTGGTCTGTTTGTGCCTCTTCTTCCTCTAAAACCAGAGAATCCAGTTGTTGTTGTGAATCTAAAGGACGTCATAAAAGTAGGGTTTAGTTTATTAGTGTTCTGCAGTTCATATGTCAGGAATCTCCAAACTTTCTCACCAGGAGAGATACTAACTTGAGATGAAAATGATTTTAGCTGTCCTGGGAAAAAATCAGGGACATTTTCCATTAAAACATAATAACTACTAGAATAGTAACTATAATAATCCATTTTATTATATATGAAATGTGGTTTTATTTCTTTCTAAATCCTTTGGGGAGATACCCGGAGAGGGGTGGTGAGCTATGGGTAGCTCCTGAGCCACAGGTTGGAGACCCATACGTTTTCAAACACTTTCACCAGTTATCGGCCGGTCTCCTTCTGCCAGTTTTACAAAATACTAGAAAAATTATATTGAAACTTGAAAATATTGAACATGAATATTTATTATCTGATAGTCAGTATGGGTGTAAGCTAGTCCTGTAGATCTACTTCAGACTTAAAGCGATGAATACAGACAGCATGGACACAATCTATGTATTTTTTTCTCAGTGTGAATGAGGCTTTAGAGAGAGAGAGAGAAGCTGCATGCACCTGGGGCGAGCGAGCGTGGGCGTGGCCAGGTGAAGCGTTCTTAACCTCAAACCGGTCGATCGGCAGCAGAGCATGAGAGCAGACTCACATCCAAAACAGGTCAGATATGGCTCTATTTTAACTCTATGCTTTTCACTGCAGGAAACAAAACACACACACAAAAAATATCACAGAAATACAAATATTATCTCAAGCTCCAGAGAAAAGTTTGAGAATTTGAGTTGTTTTGGGCAAAGTTGAAGGGCGGTATGTAGAGAGAGATTTGTTTATATTGGTCTCTGCCCGTTATGGACCAATGTGTTTTTTAACATTGCATTTCTTGAGTTTCTGATTCTCTGATCTGTTGTCGGCGAATCGACAGCTTTGTAAAGTCCTCAGACATAACGACTGTTGTGTTTTAGGGCGATACAAAAACACACTGAATTGAAAAGAAGACAAACGTACAGACTTCAATCATGAACTTAAATACTCAGGTTATAATTATCACTGCAAGTAAGTAAGTAATTCATCTTTTTTTATATACAGCGTATTTTAAGTGAAGCCAGGTTGCCAGAGTTGTGTGTTCAGCGTTGACTTTCTCTTCAAAACAGTTCTCTCTGCCGTGTTTTTTCTCTTGTTTTGTGAAGCACTTTGAGTTGTGTAACTGCGCTCTATTAATAAATTAAACTCGAACTCATTTGAATACAGCTGCAGAGTTGGTTAGAAGGAGAAACACCTACATACAGATGAATATTCTGATGTTTTGTTTGTGGAAGTGAAAGACTTGACTTTGACTGGTTTTGGAAAAGTCTGGGAATATGGAGGAGATATTT